ATCGAATTGAATTATTTTTTTATTAAATTTTTAATTTAAATTTTTTTGCAACAAACAAATAAATAAAAATATTTCTCGTAATTTTTTTCTTAAAATATTAATTAAAATATCGAAAAAAGTTGTTTTTTAAAATTTATTTATTTTTTTGTGCAAAAATCAAAATTATTATTTTTAAAAATTTCATTTCGTTTTTTTGTTAAATTAATTGTTTTTTATTTGTGATAAAATTAAATAATTGGAAAATTAATCATTAAAATTAATTTTCCGTTTAACGCAGTTTTGGGAATTCCAAAGAAAATCTTTTTTTATTTTCATTTTATTATTTTATAAGTTTTATTTGTTATTAAATTCATAATTTTTCATTCAAAAAAAAAATAAAAGTTTAAGGGACCGTCTCATATAATTTTATTCGATAATCACAGATGGTTGGTTGATTTGTCGATTGCATTGTTGCGATTTATGTGGGAAGGCATTATAACGAAAGATTCTCGATAATCTATTATTTCGATATTTTTCGTTGCTGAAAACATGTTTTATTGAGGGGAAATTCACGAGGAAAAGCAGGAGATGGAAAAGAATTAAGAGAGAGGAAAAGAAGAGGGGGAAAACTTGAAAAAAGAAATTCACGGGGAAAGAAGAGAAAATTTAGGCATAGCAAAATATAAATATTTGTATATATTATGAAAAACATAGCATTTTTTAAGAGAAGAAAATCTAAAATAAATATTTTTTTTTCTTTTTTAAATTATTTATTGAAAATTATGGAAAAGGTCAAACTATAAGTCAATAATTATTCAGAGGTCAAATATCACTTTCATTTAGAAGGGAAGTTGTTTTTTCTGGAGCATTTTTCAGTTTTTTGCAATTTCTTTTATTTTTCAACAATAAAAATAAAATAATAGTGAAAAAACAAATAAAATAATAGTGAAAAATAAATTTAATAATTACTAATTATCGGACATTTTGCATACATATTTTTGTGCAAATTGCATTCATGAATGAATGAGAAGCAAGATAAAAAAAGGTAAGAGATATATATCAATATTGAAGCATTACTGTGGAGAGTATATGAGAATGCAAACGGGGACCGTATTAATTCTGTGAGGGACCGTATCAAATATTGGACATAGAGGGACCGTATTAGATGATTAAATATCGAGTGTATAATCAAAATGTTGTGAGGGACCGTATCATATTTGCGTATGTATTGCGTATTTGTGTAATGTTGCCGTATTGTAAACAAATAGTTTAAGTAAATTTTTTCGCCGAATTTTTAATATATGTAATGCACGAAATGTGCAAGTCATCGTGCACTATGCACATTATGAAATTTTGCACTTGTCGTTATATTTCACTTTTTTTCTTTATTTTTTTCATTCCTCACTCATTCTTCATTTATTTATTCTCTATGCTTTGTGAAAAATTAGAAGCAAAAAAATGATGGTAGAATGATGTTATACTTCTTCATCAGAAAGGTCATCAGTAAGGTCGCGAATTTGACTCATCTCTGTGTAAAAGGAAAGAAGTATTATAAAAAAAGTCGAGGATTGCTGATGGTCTACCGGTGAATGATCTCTTTTAAATAATCAGTGGGAAGTGCTGAGATAAAGAGGAACATTAACTAATTTCCAGTAGATTTTTATTTCATTTAAGAGTAAGGTAAATGAGATGACTTGGATCGAATCTGTTAAAAGACTGACTCAGACTGAAACTGATTTCAGTGGTTGCCTTACAAATATCTCTTCCACAATTTCTTTCCTATAACGAGGAGGTCATAAGAAAAGAATGCGTAAGAATGTAGAAAAGGATTCGTTAAGGAAGCATAATTGGCTTTGAGGGAGTTTTTAATAACTTTAGAGAGACGCAAAACGAATATAAGAGTTTCGACAATTAATGATACATTCAAAAACTAATGATACTTTTGAGGTTTAGAGGAAACATTTATCTGCAAATATTTTGACAGAGTGGGCCGAGTTTTTTCGCAGTGCGGCCGCGTTATTTGCTTGGTTTTTACCTTAGGATGAGTCGATTTAGACGTGTATTAACAGAATTCGCAAGACAGTAAACCTAGCAAAGTATAAGCATAATTTTTATATTATAGATAATAATTTATAAGCAATAATCACTTTTCGAGCCCTTTTCTTTTTCTCTTCATTTTTCCATTTTTTATGCGAGAGGCTGCGTTTTAGTTTTTACAGTAAATAGGATAAAATAAAGCGCACCACGCTATTGTAACTGATTCATTTCTGCTTAAACCGGGTCTTAGGTCATTTCGATGAAGTTGCAAAAATCCTTTCTCCTCAAACATACACAATGAACCAACATGTTACGTTAATGGTCAGCTTCATTCCAAACATCATAGATTAGCGGTTCTCTAAATGTCGGACGATCTATCATTTTATTGTGGAGGAGATGAAGGAATTTTTTGTTGGCCTTTTTCGATTCATAGGCGTACGAGAAGTTTGAATTCTAATTCTGGCTTAATTCGATGATTTAGATAGATCAAATGATTTGTTTACTCACCAAATTTCTCTTGATTTGATTAATTTGAATTGGGTCAAATGAAATGAACCAGTTTAACGTTGAGTCAAATGACTGACTTCTGCTTGACCAGCTGATCACTTCGGCGGCCAGTTATTTGTACTTTCTTCCAGTGATTCGAGTGTTTTGCGATCGCTGTGTACTTGATCGGAGTTGATTTCTTCAATCAAACGATTTCTTTTCTGTCAAATGCATTCTTTTTTGAGCGATTTGATTTGGGTCATTTACTGGTTTTTTGAGTCGATTGACTGGTGTGGTCACAAGCTGGTGCTGCAAACTCGCGTATTTCTCGTCTGCAGGCGTCCCTCTTTGCCCAAGCGTTCCCCCACTAGGTTAGTCGGTGAAGTTGGCCAAGCCAGAAGTGGTGAGAGGTGGTGTTGAAGGATTTTTTTCTTTATTGGGAGGGTTCTTAAGCTGCATGATCCGCTGAATGAGAATTATTTATGCTGGATGATGTATTTGTTCTAACTTATTATTCCATTTGTTCTTTTCTGGCTTTTTATGCGTCCTTCTGTGCAGATCCTTGTAGACTTCCTCTGGATTGTGCAGTGCATGCGTGTACCGCGCACTCCTCATGTTCCCACAAGTTGCATGCACTTCACCCCTAAGTGTACGTGCACGCACATCTTAAGCAACGAAAAATAAAAAATTTCTTATTTATACGGAAATTTCGGCACCGCCTTCATTCTTTTTTTTCAATAATTAGTGAAAAAAAATAAAGAAAAATTGCGCGATATATTTTCTAGGAAAGCTATAAACAATAAACAAAGAGTACTATTTTTCTGTGTTCTCTTTCGCCAATAATATTTTCTTTTCTCGCCTTTTTCTTTTGCACAAATTTTGCGTATCTATTATTTACATACTATTTCGCCTTTCATTTCGTAATTAATTTTAAAAAAACTGATCGATTTTCACATAAAAAAGAAATTCGCTAATGGAGTGGTACTTCAAAGACATGTTTTTATTGAGGAAATTTCGCTGAAAGTTTCTTTAGGAGAAAATTGAGGGATTTTATGATTTTCTGCAAATTATTACGGATTTTATTCCACTGACTGGCGATACGTTTGAATAATGAAGCTTCATTATTACTGTTGTTGTATGACCTCTAGGTGACCTCCATTTCATCTGAAAATGGCATCCATTTGATTGGAAGTTCATGTTTTTTTTTTCAGTAAAAATAAAAGTACAAGTGCAATATCTTTATTCTTTCTAAAAAATTGAATCTAATAACAAATAATCCAATTTCGCTTTTTCGTTTTCTTTTTCATAAATAGATTAATAAACTACCGCTTTTTTTCCATCGTATATCTAGTGAAACTCGTTGGCTTTTTTGCTTTTGAAACTTTTTGGCGAAACTTTTTGAAAGAGTTTTTGAGATATGAAGGAGTCACCAGGCGCTCGGAATATAGAACGGGTCGCCAGCATTACTCGGATTTCGAAGACAGATTTCTTCCTACGCGACATCCGTAGACACCATCCAATTGCATCGTCATTCGGAAATTCACCAAGAGCAGCAGCTTATTAAGCCATTCCACCTTAAGCCACACTTATAATTAATTGAACATTTTTTTCATTTATATATTTTCTTCAAATGCATATCTTTCAGTTATCGTCATGATGGGCACAATGATCCTCAACCCTCAATGGGCGTGGCCTTTCTATTTTTAGTTGATGTGCATTAAAAATTATATATTGCACAATTAGACTTTATAAAATTATGCGATTAGTTTAATATTAGATTTTTTTGTATGATTTGTATTTGCATAATTTCAATTGATACTTTTCCCATTTTAATATTTATAATCAATTTGGTAAAATTTGATAGAAGTTTAATGAAAGAAAAAAAATATTTAAGGAATATCGAATAAAAAAAATATTTCCTTAAAAAAACAACAATAATAATAATTGTGCTAATAGTAATATGCAGTAATATGCAATAATAATATGCAATAGTGGAAGACGAGATTTGATCGGTTTGATATAATTTATTAAGATTTATCATTAATATTTATTATTATTTATTTGTATTATGTTTATTTATTTTTTATAATATGTCATGCTGATTACTTGTCGATTCATTAAATCCTAACTGATAAAACTATGATAATATTTATCAAACTTCAGGCATTGAAGATTCTTATCATTTTCGTCAATATTACTAAATTAATGAGCATCATTACTAAATATTAAAAAAAAAACAAAGAAGAATTTATCGAAGAAGACGAGGAAGCTTATCATTCGTTTTTTTATTTTTATTTATCGTCAGAACTATTAAAATTTATCAATAAGGATATATCGAAATAAAAATTGGTGATAATTAGCAGTCAATAGCAGTAATTTTTTAATTAAAAAATATAAATACTGGGTATGCGCGATAGTAAAGCGCTTTTATTTAATAAACGATTGAAGAAGGGAAGGCGACTGTTTTTTAATTATTTCTTATTATTATTACTGTTAATATGAGTTTTACAAGCGACGATATCAATTATTTTATTTATCGATATCTGCATGAATCAGGTTTTTTTAAATTTCTTTCCCTTTTATGCATTTCGACTTCTTCTAAAATAATTCCATTTATAATTCGCTTCCAACACTTTCAGTATGTTTCGGAAAAGTTTTTTTTTTCAAGTTTTCTATGAGTTCAATTTCATTTCATCGGTCCGAGTTGTGGTCGTATTTGGGGAGCTATTTGTCAGCTTTCGTAATTTTGTCGTGAGATGTGATATAGTTTCGTAAATTATAGAAAAAATGAAAAAAATTTTGCTTCCTTTTTTTGGCTTTGAATCGAGAAATAGGTTTTACACTTTCTTGCGATCTGTGTTAGTCAGCAAATCTAAAATGCAGATCTGCAGATGTAGGGAGAAAATATCATAAAAATGTCATTTTGTAAATATTAAAAGCCGATTTCGCTTAAACGCTTAAAGAGTGCGGGGATTTAGGCTTTCTGCATAGTGCATTCGCTTTTGCAAACGAGTCTCGTGTGTTGGAGTCGACCGCAGCTGCAGTTGACATCCCTATGGGTGCTCTCGTTAACATCGTTCAGGTTTTTCCCTTTTGTTTAATTCATATTGTTTTCTTTTCCAGCTATCATATAATAATATAAAATTAGTGTTAAATTCATATTTTATTTGGTTTTGTATTTTTTTTCGAAAGAATTAGAAGTATTTATTTAGAAAAAAAAGCAATTATTACGAAAAAAATAATCATAAGAAATAATTAAAATAATTAAAATTAATATTTAAAATTAATAATTAAAATTAATAATAATGAAATAATAACAATAGAAATAAAAATTAATTCACTTATTCGCGTTCGTATGTAATAACTTTTGCCTATTTCCTTCTTGAAAGAGAGAAGAGAGAATCGCATTCGCTTCGTCCGTCCAACAACCCACTCTGATTAAAGGATTTTAGTACAGCGTATTAATTTAGCATAATAGATACGTTTAAACAATTTCAGTCCATTTTTTAAATTGAAATTATGACATTTAATAGAAAAAGCATAGCATAGCTTATCTGACCTTATTTTACTCTTCTAATTTAAATGAGTTTCGGTCACATAGTTCCGGTTTATAGTCGATAATTGATAAGGAAATTAGGATTTAAGTGATATAGGAATTGTTTTTGATGATTTTCGATTCTTTTAGACTCTATTTGTAATGACGAATAGATTCCATATATTTGCTAGCGAATCTTCAGTTTTAGGATTTTATAGTTTTTTTCAAGTTAACCGACTGTCGAGATCGAAAATGTAAATTCTTATCAGTGCATTGTGTTAACATTTGATCTGTGATTTACGTTTAGTGAAACATTCTAAATACAGATCACCGCAAAATTGGAGCTTTTTGAACAAATGTCTTAAATATTTCTGTCGTAAAAGTGCTGAATTACTTGTACTAGCAGTCAGGGCGAGTAAGGTTGTGTATTTGTGTAAAAAGAAAAATTGAAGCGAAAAAGAATGTGCCAAATAGGCGTTTGTCGTAAGATAATAAAATTTTATTGCAAATAAATCTCTAAGTTTGCTCTGAATAGGTTACTCGTTTTTTTTTCAGAAAGGCGTATATTATGCAGAAGCAGAAGCTTGCGCAATGCCAGGCACGAGTACCGTTGACATGAATTGCGAAAAGACACTCATCGAAGGTTTGACACTTATTGAAGCTGGTGAGTTATATTTGTCATTTACATAATAATAAAAAAACATTGTCTCCCCTTAAATCCATTTATTCTCCTTTCGATCCCTGTTTTGCATCGAGAATTCCACTTTGCCCCAAACCATTATTAGAGTCCTCCTAGGTATCATACATAATCTTTCATACCCCGCCCTATCTTCGCACTCGGAGATGCTAATCCTTTTAATCTTTTGCACATCAAAGTGCTCTATCAAACTTGCTATATTGTTTTTCATCTTTTACTAATACTACTACCTTAAAATTCCTTATGTTATCACTATTGTAACCTTCCTAAAAGCTTCCATAATTTTTTTTTTTTTTTTCAGATTTTGTCCCTTTTTCTCTTATTCCTTTAACCTTCTCTAACCTTCTCTAACCTTCTCTAAATCTTATCAAATTTTTGCTTTTTTTTCAAAATGATCCCCGATAACTCCCGATTAACGCATTCTTTAACGGTTTATGCTTTGTTAGTCCCATCAGAGCCCACTGTAGAGCCTTAATATGCAAAATCGCTGCTAAATTGTTTAGCAACAGCCTGTCTTTACCAATTTTAGCCATAGATCCCCATAATATAATGCGATCATATTATAATAAAAGTAATATATTATAAGCTGTGTTGCTCCTATGCGAGTGTTGCAATACACTCTTTTTACACATAATTGAAGAAAATATTAAATTTTAATTAATCTTTTTATGAAAGTAAAGGTCAAAAGTTAACGTTCAACTTCTCTTCCTGATTTTTTCATTAAAATGTGGTCGGCTTTGAGAACCATTATCTGACACAGTGAAGCCTAGTAGATAATGGAGCCAGCAAAAACAGAAATGAAAAGGAATCCTTGAAAAAGAAGCAAAATTTTTCTACTCCCTGATTCACTTATGCCCTAGATTCTGTCCACCCAAGATGTGTGTATTGGCTTCCAGTCTGTGAACTGCTGACTTAAATTTTGATTAATTTGGTTTAATTGTTGCTTTTATTCAATTTTCTGTTAAGATTTTGCAGCTTTGAATCACTTTTTTCTGAATATTCATATTTATAAATTTTATATTAAAAAATATTGTCAAAAGATCAGCGAGAAACATTTTTTTTACTATTTTTAACAGTGAAATTTATAAAAAGTGAAATTTTATAAATTTTAGCTTCAAGCGAAATTGCGAAAAATAAATTAAAAGATAAATTCCGTGAACAACAATTGATGAAGGATCGTGAATTGCATATGAACAACGAGAAAAAATATGTCGGCGTGAAACGCGAAAAATTCGATACCAAAGTATTTTTATTGCTGAATCGTTGTTTTATAGATCTTTTAAGTATCGTTCAAGTAATTAAATAATAATGTTTTCCTTCGTTTTAATTTTTTTTTTTTGAAGAAAATTTGTTATGTTTAATTTTCTTTTGTATGAAGAAAGAAGAGTTGAAGAAATTTGGTTGGCAGTTTAACAATTTAAAAGAATTAGCTGCATGGAGTAAACCTGTAGATTCTGAGGGGAAATAGAAAAATTTGTTTTTTTTCATAATCATTTTTATTGTTTTTAATTTATTTATTTCTCTTCAGAGACTTCATAAAAATTCAAGATTTATTTATCATTTTTATTTTTATATAGACTGCTGTTATATTTTTATATTTTATATATTTTTATGCAGACTGTTAATATCATATTTTTATTATTTTGTAGTTAACTCAAAAAATTTTTCAGTAAAAGCAATTTCTATATTTGTTTTTATGATAATTTTTATAAAATTTTGTCAAATTTATTGCAGTGTTCTCCACCATTACCATTTAATAATGATTCGTCGTCTTCATCAGCAATATTTTCATCATGTTCAAATAGTAATAATGGTGTGGCAACAACAAGTAATTCTTCGTCCGTTGTACATAATCATCAACAGTTATCTGGCGGTACACAGGGCCAGCATCATTCTTCTTATTCACTGCAGTTATCATCTTCATCTGCAACAGCAGCTTCGCATCATCACGCTAGACAGTTCTATCAAGACACTCATGATCGTATATTAAATGGGCAAGTTGGTAAAGTGAAACAAGCTGCTGCTGAACTTCGGGCTGCTCAAGCTAATAATGGGTTAGTAATGGTAGTAATGGCTATCGCGATATATAATTCTTCCCTAGAATCAATTATTTATGAAATTAGAGAATTATTTATGAAATTATGAGATGGGAGTAAAATTGAAAAGCGCTTTCGAATAAAGAGGAGAAGTATACAATGAAATGAATGAATTAGTCACATCTCGGTCGTGAATAAATTTTGTTAATTTTCGTTGCATGATACATCTTTTTTGTTTTCCTTAAAATCCTTATTGTCGTTCATAATTTTTGAATTCCCATGCTAAATGGGTAGATATACTTTAAAGTACGTTTAGGCAATAACATACAAATTCATATTTATAATGCGCTATTTTCTTTTATTAGTATTTGTTCCATAATGACTCGAGGTTTGCAGAAACCGCGTTTTCTCCCACTTTAAATTGGCAGAATGTTCTCAAATTTTTTTTAGCAAATTTTTTATAGATTTGCGAATGGTTCAACAATCGAAGTTGATGGATTAGCAATAAATCACATTAACAATGGTGGTAGTCTTACAAAGGCGCAAATCGAAAATCAGCCTTATGAAATTAGTCGAGACAAGGTGAATTATTTTCATATTTTTATAGGTCCCCTGATTTTCAATTCAAACTTTGAATTTTGAAAATTTTACGTCTTTAATTACTTTTTTTCAGGTGCGTTATTTGAAAGGTCATGAAAGTGAAGTATTCATTTGTACATGGAATCCTAAAAATGATCTCATTGCTTCCGGGTATATTTCTTTTTTCATCGAAAAAAAGCTTTTTCTTATAAGAATTTATGAGGTTACACAGCGGAATTGATTAGAAATAAAACTTTATTTGAAAAGGTCTAGCTTTAACTGCTTCGCTTTTCGTTTTGATAACTGCCAGCAGTTGATTCTTTGACAGATCTTTCTCGTGTTTTGCCATTAGTGATTTATGAATTTATTGAAGGTCTGGTGATAGTACGGCGCGTATTTGGAATGCTTTTGGCTCTGAACTTCCAACTACTGCCACTTCCAGTATTGAAGAAACGTCACTAATATTGAAACATTGTATACAGAAAGACGAGAAAACTGTGTTACCACCTAATAAAGATGTCACATCATTAGATTGGAATGTTTGTTTTTTCACCTATTTTATAAAAAATGTTTATATAAATGAATTTTTGAAAAAAATTGGAGAAAAAAATTTAAAATGGGTTAAAAGGATTGAACTAGAAAATCAGCGAATGAAATTAAGGCATTATATCAGATTTATTAATATATCGAATAAGTAATTAAAATTTAAAAAAATTTGAAAAAAAGTATTTTCTACGGTCTACCATTTATTATTTCCGCTTATTCGAAAGTCACACTAGAATAGAAATGGAATTATTGATTTATTTTCACCAAAGGTCACTGGCCTGGAATAATGTTCAAACTAATGGCCTAACTAAAACTCATCCTTATTGTCGGCAATTATTGTTATATTTTAACCATTATGTGGATGATTTAGTGTACTGGCGATTTGTTAGCAACTGGATGTTATGATGGATATGCGCGTGTTTGGGCGACTGATGGTAAGGATCCGATTTTTCAAAATATCGAACATATCAGTTGAAAAATCATCGAATTTTTTTCAAAGTTTATTCATTATTCACTGAGGCGATAAGGATAAGAATTTTTGATTGATTGAAAAGTATTTAAATTAATTTTTGGTGAACATAATTTTCAGCTGTTAAGATTTTCAAAAATAATTTTTCATTATTATGAATAATAAAAAAATGAAATGAAAAAAAATGAAAAATGGATAGAAATATTAAGGTCGTCTTCGATATACGTTAGGTGCTCACAAAGGACCAATTTTTGCGCTTAAATGGAATCATCGTGGCGATAAGATTCTTAGCGCTGGTGTTGATAAGGTATATTCAAAATATTTCCACCGTTCTCCCATCTTTTTTCTTTCATCCTTCTAATCATAATTTGAGTCAAACTTGTTAGGGTTTCGTTTGATTTAAACCTTAATATTTTATTTTAAAGTCACTCGCTTAAGATTCGCTTTTAAATCGTTTTGTAGACAACGATTGTTTGGGATCCAACAAAGGGAACACAAACGCAAGTTTTCCAGTGTCATACAAGTTCAGCATTGGATGTTGACTGGATGAGTGAAGATACATTTGCTTCTTGTAGTACTGATCAATGTATTCATGTATGTCGATTAGGAAGCGACAAGCCGTTAAAAACTTTTCAAGTGGGTACATCTTATGTTCTTATGTTCGGAATTTGTACGCACTGAAATCTGTTGCCTTATTTTATCATTTTTCATTTTCTAACTTCTTGATCTGTTGCCTTATTTTATCATTTTTCATTTTCTAACTTCTACATTTAATAATAAATATATGCCGTATTCACATTATTATATTTCACATTATTATATTTAACAGTGTAAAGCGGTATATTATATATATATTTCGGAAATTTCGCTAAGTCATAAAATATTTTGCACTTTATTATTTTATATTTGAGATCCTTAGAATTATGCTGTAGAAATTTTTCTTGAATTTAAAAAATATTTCTTTTTTTTCGACTTTTGATGACTTAATTTCAGGGTCATACCAATGAAGTGAATGCGATTAAATATGATTCGTTCTCGCACAGGTTGGCGTCATGTTCAGATGATCGAACATTGAAGGTTTTTTTCGTTGCTGATTGGTCCAAGTCCTATTATAAGGCTTTTTAATTTTTTGCGGCAGAATTGATTTTTTATAGAAATGTTGGTTGAATGATATTTTCCATTTTAGATTTGGTCAATGGATAGTGATTCAGCAATTTTCGATATCAAAGCGCATGAAAAGGAGATTTATACGATTCGATGGTCTCCCGTTGGTTCTTTATTGGCCAGGTTTGAATAAATACTTCTTCTTTTGAATAAATAGCGATTATGAAAGCAGGAACGATTTTTTTTTGGGGTCATTGTGTTGATTATGTCGAAATATCTTCTAATCCATTTCACATCATTTCATATTTTATGATCAATAAAAATATTGGGATTTGCATTATTTATAAATTCAATAAATATTCATTGTGCTTAATTATACTCATCTATATTTAGTGCTTCGTTTGATCATACAGTTCGATTATGGGATGTAATGAAGGGGCAGTGTATTAGGACACTTTCGAAGCATACAGAGCCAGTATATTCCGTTGGATTTTCTCCAGATGGCAAATATATTGCATCGGGATCGTTCGATCGAGCTGTTTATATCTGGGATGTCATGGTTAAATTTTTATTTTTCATTCTTGATTATATGTGAAAAACTTTTAAATACCGAAAAAAATATTTTTATATATTTTCTGTGTCGATTGTATTTTGGTTCAATAAGTTCGAGAATGATTGAAGAATTTTAAAAATTTTGAAATAATTATTTTATTTCTTCGCATTTTTTAGTCTGGTAAATTAATTCAAAGTTATACGGGAAGTTTAAATGATGGAGGAATATTTGAGGTGGGTTGGAATGCTCGAGGAGATAAGGTCGGTGCCTCAGCAAGTGATGGGACGGTATCTATTATTTTCATAATTCCTAATAATAATCTTTAATAGTAATAATAATTTTGAAATTTTTTGTTCTTTTCCTGTTTTAGTTTGCATAATTGGATTAATTTTGTTATAGGTTATAATTCTTGATGTACGTCATGTAAAAAGCCGATTAATTTAACAATGGAATATAATGCTTCAAAAAAATTGGCTGGTATTTAAGAGCATGTTGTGAAGCATTTAAGAAATTTTAATTCAGTCCATGGCTTTTACACCGTATTTTTCTTAATTTGGTAACAATGGCCTCATTACTTGTGATAAAGTTATTTTTATTTTTAAAATTCATTTGGTCGTTTTTTTGCGCAATTTTATGAAAATCGGCTTCGTTCATAATTGATTATTAGGAGGGAATGAATATTTTACTCGACTTGCTTGCATTCCAATAAGTCATTTTTTTAAATTTTGCTGTTCAGCAGTTTATAGTATACTCATATTGATGTTATGTATCTTTTTTTTGTTATTAGCAATTTGTTTAATCATAAATATTTTTACTTTAATAAACGGGTGGATTTTTTTTTAAAGAAGCGGAAAATCATTAGCTCAACACTGGTTGGTAACTTCAAAAATACTTAGGATCTTAAAATGGAATTTGATTTTCTTTTGTTATTCGAGGGTTAAGAAAGGTTCTGACTTATTCTTCGATAATAAAATAATGATTAAAAAAAAGCTAAAACTGCAAGTGTAACTGTTAACTCGAATCATACATAGTGACTACACTCGGCATAGATATTGGCGTAAGAAGTTTGAAAAGTGTGGATGCATTATTTCTTAAAATAGTTTCGAAAAAAGAAATCCCGGATTGATTATTTTGGTTTTTTTGCGACGGTTTTTTTGTCATTATTTTATTATCGAGTACATCGTTGAAATGCACTATGTTCTTTTTCACTCACATTTCTCCATTTTTATATTCATTTCATTAGTGTTTCTTCCTTACAGCTCAAAATTTCTTTTTTTTTCATTTGGTCGAGAGAATTCACGGAATTTCAGATTTTCAGGAATGGGAGATGTAAATTTGGTTCGTTTTCGAGTTCATTGCGTGAACGCAAATATTTTAATGGCTTAGTTGGCATTTATGTAACAGTAATAATATTAATAATTAATTTAAATTATTTATGGAATTTAAAGGAGGGGATTTTGTGAGGAATTTGAACGAAGTCATATATTTGTTATCGAATTGTTGTATGTTTTGATAATCTGGTGTTTCATTCTTGTTTCTTTCTTTCGTTTTTTTAAATGATTTTATTTATGCTTTCAAGAAAAAAATTCATTATTCAGAGGGAGGTTTTTTCATGAAAAATTAAAATTTAACGAGTTCATTAATCGAAGACGAATTAATTTCTGGAAATTGGAACCAGATTTGTGCGGTCATAAGGAAATTTTAAAATATTTAACGTTGAGTTCAAATGCGGTATGATTCGGCGATTTCCCCGGTCTCTGGCAGATGATCCGGGCTTGACGGTGGCGTATACCACCCACAAGGGGTTCTTCTATCTATGTGTATATGGATTTGAAGAGAGCAACACAATACTAAAAGGAGCCCTGGAAATGCAAATGTAGGTACCACAGGCCGCCTCGCATGAATTAAATTTAGCTTTGAACTTAGCTTCCAACTTCATTGTTTAAATTTGTTTTATGATCATAGGGATTGTCTTCGAAATTTCAAGTTTTCATAAAATGACGACTATTCATTTAGGATTTATTATTACGGAATATATACAAGGTTTATTTCTTTAAATTAGTTTGATCACAACTTTCATCGAGACATTTTTGCGAGCAATAACGTTTATTTGCGTATTCAGCGAACTGGCCGATGTACTGTTCGAGTATACCACAATATGAGCATAAAGTATAGCCAAGTTTCTTTTTCTCTTCGATGAAACGATCACCAAAAATCACCGACGATCCATTTGGTCGCCACATTCTTAATATATGCCTGTCGAAATCGGTTAGTACCCATGTTCGATTACCTTAATCCAAGTGATAGAATGGTTCAGTAAGTGATTGCTGGCGTTTTGCAGTACCACTGATTGAGTTCGACTATACGCAGCAGCAGTGAACTCGTTTTTCAAACATCCAAGCAATGTTGGCGATTTCTCTTATTCCCATCGCCAACTTCGCTAATAATTTGCCTAGTCGTTCGATCAGCCAGTGGAACGAGTCTAATTAGAAATGGTGAGAAGTATTTAGAAAGAACATTCGTCCAACTTTTGCAAGTTCTTTCTAATATCTCCTTAGTAATCTTGGAAGTGTTTAAGTGGCGTATATAATAGTGGAAAAATTAAGTAAATTTCATAAATTTTTAAATTCAGTTTTAAATTTTGTAAAATTGTCTTATTATTTCGTCGTTATTTTCCGCATAGCCGACGACTTAGTGGGATTACCTTGGAAAAAATTCTGGAAAAGCACAACTCGATCATCGGGCTGCCATTCAGGATCCTCCTCGAAGCGAATCGATTTACGTTTCCTTATGGAGACGAGCCAACGTTGTTGCAATTTCGTTAAAGTGTGCATAAAGATTAAATAAGCCAAAATTTGTGCATTGGCAATACGGTACGTTACTGAATTCGCTTGGCCAAATATTCTTAAAGAAGCCTTTTCGCTTGAAGTATTGTAATCAAAAAAGTTAAATCAGCCTGAAGGCATAAAATGAAGTAGTATTGCGATGGGCAAATGGTCACATAGAATGGAGAAATTGATTAATAAAAATTCATTTGGAAAAGCTTTGTTAAGTACAAATATTGGACGTTATTATGGGCAGTATGGGCAAAATTTGAAGTAATCAATGGAACCTCGTAAATTGTTGCGAAGTGCTCTTATCAGAGAATGGATTTTGATGTAGATCACCCTTATTAAGCTTGTCCAATATAGTGATAATTTCTGGTATATTTACAACTGTTTCGAGATCCAGTAGGAACTAAGAAAGCCTTTATTTATTTATTCTTTTTATTAATTATCAATTATTATTATTATTATATTATTATTATTTTCATTATATTTTCTTTAGAATTAAACTAAGATGTTTATTTATTGCATCAATAATTTGCAAAAAATGTTTGTTTAGATGAAATGTAAAATTTTTACAAAACGAATTTTTTTTAAAATTTATATTTCATCTTTAGAAAACTTTGTTTTCTATTTGCAATTTTTGAATATTTTTTTTCCAAAAAAATCGTGAAATTTTTCATAAATCAGTAATTTTTTAAATTTTAAATAATAATTATAATAATTATTATTATTTAAAAATTAAATAATAATAATAATTTATAATTTATAAAAAGTTGATAATTTTAAACTCGTTTGCCCATGGTTTCGGCTGAATGTGAACAGCATGAATTCGATTGTGGTCCATTATGGTACCTTATCTCTTGATAATCTCTTGATAATTCCAACACTCATAAAGGCTAATAAGTTATCGAAAACTGCTATCTATTGAATTTCTGAGTAACTCTCCTATCTCACCTTAACAATTGGCAAAGGCAGCCAAATTAGAAATAATGCCTATACTATTTCGATGAATTACAAGAAATATGGAAGAATCCTAGGCAAAAACGCTTTTGGAAACCTGTTGAGCACAATCTACTGTCGATTCAACGATATTTTGGTGAACCATTATAAAGGCATCATCACAGTGAAATAAAATTTCGTCGTTATTTTCCACATAATTGGCGACATATCCACGAACAGATATAACCAAACGCGACCACCAAATTCGAGACAATTTCTCATACATCTTAAATTTGTATGTTTGCATGAAAAAAATAACTAAGTGATTAACTAAAGTGATCAACAACCGATGCCAATCAATTTAAATGATTTGTGCAATTTTTTTTTGAGTTTAATCTTCAATATTTTATTTTTATTCGATCTTAGCTTAAATTATTTTTACGATAAGAAAAGGGAAGCAAAAATTCTTACAAAGATAAAAATTGCAACTTGCAGTTTTGCGAGTTTCTACAAAATTTTTTGTATGGATTGAATGAATGGATTTTCAATTTTTAATTGAATAATTATAAATATTTTCGCCTCCATAAATTGCAATAAATATTTTCACAATAGAATTAAAGGCTTGGAAACCAAAGGCATTGATTTCTCACTAACCACTGTTAGTCTATTTTCTAACCAAAGATATGATAAGATTAAAAGATAAAAAACTACCAATGCGATGAATCAGTGAATTTTTATCATGTATGAAATAAAGATTCTAACCAGTTTTATTTATTGCAATTCATGGAGTCGACTATCAACTAAAAAATAGTGAATTAAGAGGATTTTTTTTTTCGCAGCGATTATCATCTCTAATTTAGATGGTTCCACTGGTGATTAGATTAGGATGAGATATTTTCGATAGAAAATTATTTGCGGAGCCACCCGGATTTCATTTTAATTCGCATATTTATTATATGCCAATGAGCTGAAGTCCAGCCTGTTATGACTTGGCCTTAGTTAAATATATCATTTAAGCATTTGCATGTAATTGGAAAAAAATTAATGTATGAAAATAGAACTAAAAGGTTCATAGGTTCAGTATTCAAATTTGGAAAATATAATTTTTTCTAATTTCTGCCGTTTTCGAACATAAATTCGATGAAATTGAATAGTAACAAGTTGGCTTCTTATGAATCATTTTTAGCTATAATCATTTTGATGGCACATCGGGCCAGAGACTCGATTAGAATATAAGCGGGTCACAAACCCGATTTTTAAAGAACAGACTTATCGCCGGGTCTATGAGCTGGACCTCGGCACTCCAAAATAAGAATAGCATCCCACTGAATTATTCCAACAAGTTAGGTCAAGTTAATTCATAATTCATATTTACTATAATGTGATGATTTTGCTAAATTATTAAAAGAAAATTTAAGAAAGATAAAAAAAAAGCCAACGGTTAAATATGTTGTAATTAAGATGAATCTTAAAAATTTCGCGTATAAATAAATCTTTTCTTATTATACTTCTACAATAAATATAAATTATATTTAACTATTAATAAATAATAAATATTAATAAACAATAATAATAAGTATAATAATAATAGTAAAAGCGATAATAATAACCAATAATAATGATAATCGCCAATTTAATGGCAAATATGACTGATAATAGATGACGATTATTATAAATTTTTATCAAAACGAGTCAAACGAGTTAATTCCCATAAAGTATTTGTTTGTTGATAATTTAAGAAAAAAGTTTAGAATTTACCTGTTGAAATGGATATAAAAGAAATTTTATGGATTCTTTATCATTGATAACCAAACATTTATGTTTCGGAAATAATTCTTCATCTTCCATAGAAATAGGTAACGCCATTTTTCCAAAATTTTATCATACATAGAAATTTATAGAAATTTAAGTTTAATATCAAATAAGTAAGAAATAAAGTTGTTGAAAGTAAAACCGATATATATATATATAATTCTATGTATATATATGCATGTTTGTGCATGTATAGGTATGAATTCATGCAGAAATGAACCGCCTTTTTGCCAAATTCGAGACAAAAAACTGTCATTGTCAACTTGTCGAGACCGCCTTTATCATTGATTCTTCCTAATAACCTGGTTTATATCACCTTTTTTTCTTTCATTCCGATGAATTATATAATTCTTCTATTAAAATTTGAAAATCATCATAAATTTGCGCATCGCTTTTTTTTTCGACCATTTCTGGTTAAACTTGCTCAGCTAGTTTCTCGGAACAGATAAATTTTTCCATAGGAATCATTTGTCAGATTGGTCGCCAGCATCACCAAAGTTTTTTGCAAGACAAGAAACTTTGTGGAACCTCAACAACGGTACTTCCGAATAAGGGTATCTTTTATTCAAAGAATTACCAATTCATAAAGTTTTTGAATGAAGAATTTAATGAATAAAAAGATATAAATAGTAGAATGAAAATTTGAAGTAAATTATAAATTTAAATCAAAAATGAATTAAAATATTAATATTAATAATAAAATATTAATATTAATAATTTTATTTTTTGACGATAATTATTTCATAAATTATATAAATAAAATATTTGGTGACGTTTAGGATTCGTGCTTCTACCTATTTTCAATTGACTCTCTGGTGAAACGATCACCAAAACACGATAATTTATAGAACCAATCGAACCAAAACGTGCTAAGGAGAAATAAGCAAAGATGAAAGCAAGTCGTGCAGATAATACAAGATAATTGGCAAGTGATAATTTGTGATATCCAGGCTATAATAATTTTTATCAGTAGCTACTAACAAATCAAATGATAAATCTATAAATATTATGAAATATTTAGAATTAAATATGTTTTTTTTTATATGCATGCATTTCAATAATCATATATGATTTCTGACTAATACAATGATTCAGCGAAAAGTTTTAAATATTTTCATAAATTAGGTTTATGGGTTGAATGTACTAAAAAGTAATCATTTGAATGAATGATTTTGACGTTATCGTTCAAGGACAAATATTTATAAATGTGAAATGACAAATCGGTAATGATTTTGATCAAATGATCGCTTCTTTTTTTTCATTTGAATATTAATAATAATGATAATAATAATTATCATAATTATAAAGGTAATGGAATCAATAAAAAAAATGGTGATAAGTATAAAACAAGCGATCATCGAAATAGCACTCCCTCTGTGATAAGTTTTGGCTCTATTTGTCAGCAATAAAAAAAAAGGATAAAAAGGATTTGTGGATGAAGATGATAATAATATCAGAAAGAAGGCATATGAAAAAATACTTCCTCATCGAATAAATTTTCATTATTATTACTATAATTATTCTTTTAATTATTAGTTATCATTATTATTATTTTATTTATTATTGTTATCTATTATTATTATTGTTATTCTGATATTATTATGAAAAGTCACTTCCGTTGAAGAAAACAATTCGATTTTTCTTCATTGGTGGAAATAAACCTGTTATAGATGGCTGCTATGCTTCTGAATCTTCTAAATGAAACAGCCATCACCTTAGTAGTTTACCAAATAAGAAATGATATAGGCTATTAGGAGAAAAAGAATTCGGTGCATTGCAAGGATTTAGAAAGATTTTGAAAATATTTCAAGCAATTTCACGTTCACTTATTCGCTAATCTAAATGATGGATGATGAACTTTACAAAACACTTTTGAGAAGTAAACCTGTCTTTGAAATTTAAAATAGGGATTTAGAACGTGGAAGAATAGATACGTTCAGTTGATTTCAGATATGGCACCGAGAAACTTAGAAGCACCTTCGTAGCCAAACGAGCTAAGTCGACTGATAATGACTAGCAGCGAGTTGTGAAACGAAGAAGAAGAAAGGGTAAATTTTGCGAAGTGAACTTGGAAAAGACTTGTCGCATGTTTACAAAATGTCTTTGCAGTACTTATTGCTGTAATTTGTTTGAAATTATTTATTATAAGAATGTTTGCCGAGTTAACTAAAATCTCAACTCGCAACTACATTTTTTTTTCATCAGAAAATATGAAAAATGTAAGAACAACTATGACTCAGTGGGTTATTGCTGCTAATTCATCAGAGCATCGATACTGGTTGCTGCCAGGCAAACCTGTTTCTGGAAATCCAGGTTATGCTAGCGACTCACCTATACTGCCCCCCGTTCTACTTATTCACGCCATTCGTGATAAATGATTACGTGGAAAAAATTATGCGACAAGCCAGCTTAACCGGAAATTCTAAGTTCTGTTCCAAAAAAAAAATGAATAATATATGTCGAAAGGAAAATAAATCAAAAAAATTTAAACTAACTGAAATTTTATCGAGTAATTTTTGTTAAAAATGACGTTTGAAGGAAACTGCCGAAATATATAAATTTAAAAAAAAAGGGAAATAGGAATTTTAAATGACTGTTATCAACAATATATAAATATTTAAAGAACTGTGATAAAAAATATCTCATTGATATCGCACTGATAAAGACAATCTTGCATAAGAATTCCTAAACTGTGATATGAAATATCACCTTATCAGCGATAATCTGATATATAATCCACCATGCTGAGAATGGATAGAATAATTTTTCTAAATAATTATCTTAATTATCTATAATTTACGCGAAAATCTGGTCAAGTTTTTTTCATCGAAATCTCGTCGAAATTATTGGAGAAATATTTATAACAAAACTTGAAAAATCCAAAAAAAGCAACAATTTGCATCAGATAGCTCGAAAATTCTGATATTCCCATATTCACCAAAATCCATAAACGACTCTTAATTCTTTCCTTTTCGTTCTAAAAATAGGTTAGGCTAGCCCAACTGGCTACTTGGAAACGATTCGTTCGATCCATTAAAACGTTAATCATTTCGAGAGAGAGAGAGAGTCATCCGCTCTTTATCTTTTATGATTTGCTCTTATCAAACGGGGTTATCAAAATGCTACCCATCGACTGAAGCTGAATGTATTCATCTTTACTCAGTCGATGTTCATTTTTTATGGAAAGAAGCAAAATCAGAAATCAGAAATTGTATACGTCTGGACGTCTGAAACGAAGAATACAAGAAATTATGGAATCCAATGAATAAAAAAAAGCATTTTGGCAGTACAGTATTTAATCGATTGTTCAGTACATTGTTCAGAAGATAAAAACTGTAAAAATTTGAGAAATTCGATGATAAGAAAATTTTAAAGTTTTTATAGATCAAATTTTTAGTTCATATTTTTCGAGAATTATTTATTTCTATAACTTTTTTCTTTCTAAGAGCGCTAATGGCTTCTCGAGCGATGGCGACCGACCGAACAGCTTGGCGGATCTCTTATCACTGTAGCCAGCGGGGAGAGTCTAACCAGTGATGCCGAGAGCTATTAGAAGAAGAAAGTGCGCTCACCATTTTCCCCGAAAATCATTCGGCGATAGAAGTACGAGTGAGTCGCTAGTATGATTCGCGATTTTTGAAAGGCACGTTTTGCTCCTAGCGAGAATCGAATAGTAGCAACAACTCGCGCTCCGCGGTGAATGCCAATAACCCATTTGCACCGTTTTATTTCCCGTTTCTCGTTCCTGTTTAATAAATATGTTTAGTGACATAATGTTTTAAATAAACAATTATCTAAAATATTGTAAAATATTATTTTAATATTACCGGTTTAGTGGTCGAATATTTCTCTCCAATTTTCACCTTTCAACCAATAATATCAAAATAAAAATAAAAAAGAATTTATTGTTGATCACATGAAAAAATCAATCGTCTTATAATAAAATCATGAAGAAAGAGAAGTGACCTTGAAAAGTGTTTTTTTATGAGATTTTGCTTAGAATCCAATCTTGCTCGATGCAACGACTCTTCTTGGCAAATGCAGTGGTGTGGCTCAGTAGGTTATTGGTTCATTCCCATTTCGGCCGCCGTTGGGCTTCTACCTCCCGCTGGCGCAAAAATAATCCTATCTTCCCGGCTGGTGGGGCTGGTCCAGCCAGCCTACTGCCTATTGTTACTCCTTAGCGAAATTCGTCATAGGGCAGCGGGTTGAGTATGAATAGAAACGGTGAGTGCTTTTAGATAAAAGAAAAGCAATATAATATAATATTCGAACTGAATTTCTTATAATTTTTTGCCATTTCTGGCTAGGTTGGCCTTCTCCATTAAATGCCCCTTTTCAAATTTTCGTCAGAAATTCGATGGGGCACAACTGTAGAAGCATATTACAAACCCAACCACAAGGTACCAGATTTCTGCTACTCGCATAGCCTCTTATTTTTTTATTTTATTTTAGTGTCATTTTCATTCTATCATTTCCACTTTCCACCGTAGGTTTGCAGTTTCGGAGGGAGCACAGATTTGCAAATATTTATTATTTTTGAACAGTTTTTGCTTCATTGTTACGCACCTTTGAAATAAAATAGTAAGGCTTTGATAAGGCTTTGATTACAAATTTCAACACTTGAGCGGTTGCTTGTGGAACCCAGTTAGCTAATGGCGTGACTATCGACCTGACCGATTTGTGGAGATGAGACTTTGGTACTAGTAATCACTGGTTATTCTAGAAGTAGATACTAAGACCATTGAGACTTTGAGCAGAAATTTATATCTGAATCGCTGTACCCGGACTTTCCAGGATAATCGGAAGGTTTTTATTTACCCATTCTAAATTTTTATTTTATGAATATAAAATTTTGAAGGAAATTTATTCATCAATAAAATAAAAATTTCAAATATGAAATAAAAAAATATTTCATAGATATATATTTCAAATTAAATACAAATTAAAAATACCAAAGAACAAAATTGAATAGAACGATCTAATAAAAAATTAATAGAAAGGTGATATGAAAAACAACTGAAAATAACCAGTTTAATTTTTTGCTAGATTCGAAAAAAATTTCAAATAAGACGAGTTTTTCTTCCCAATATTTTAAAGACTTCGGGCGATACTCACCTATATTTCTATCGCCTGGTGAATCCCTAAAAAATTTCGTTGGATCCAACAAGCCAATGGCACTAGCATAACCAGAAACGACGAGTCGCAAAAGTTCAATCAAAAACTGACAGCTAAATTTGCTGAAGTTTTAGTCCATGAATTTTTCCCTAATTTGGCTGTTGAAAGACTAAATAAATGTTGAAAATATTCTTTAAACAAATAAATAAATAAAAAGCTAACATTAGCTTTCATTAGCTAACGTTTTATTCTAATAATCATTGAATTAAAATCGTTCAATGAAAACAAATCGGAAATACTACAACTTGCAATGTTATGTAATATACAATAACTACAAACTATGAGCGATTTGAAAATCCATTTTGAAGAAGTATTTCACGAGCTACATTACATATATGCCTGAACCTGTCCGGACCAAGATGGATACCGCCATACCAACGTGTAACGATGACGATTACATTGCGAGCTTTCATCATATCGAGTAGATTCAGTAATTTTGCGCCAGCGCCTGTCTCTCCATCATCCTTCAAAAATATGTTAAAATGGAACAAATGTCGAAATAAAAATATATTTATATCAAAATTTTGATTCCACAATACAAATTATCGTTCAGCACTTTCCTCACACTAAATGGATTGCCCAGAAATTAATCCAGATAAACAGTTGACATAACCAACACCTACGCAGTATTTCACACCATTAACTGAATTATCAGCACTTATATTTTATATTTATTATTAGACATTTTGCACTAATCTTACTTAACTCTAAAATTATAAGAAGAAAGACAAACGATCTAAGTATCGCCTTTCTTTTCTTTCCTTCTTTTTAATGCCCTTAACATAAAGTGTAATAAAGCTAAAACAATTTCTGTTTTGCAAAACTTTTTTCCATGATTTCAATCATAATCTATTATAATTATCGATAATATTGATTAAACTTTATTCAACAATAACAAAAAAAATCCATAAAATTCAGTCAATAGCGATTAAAGATAAGAAACAGTTAATCGTTTAAATATTAAAACATTTTGGAAATTTTTCAAAAATTCAAGCTAATGACAATTAAAAAATGAAAAAAAATCTCTTTTTCACTCATAATCATTACCCTCAATCTCTGCCAGAAGCTTGCAAGATTTAAGGTTCTACTCTTCTGGGTAGAGATCTTCATTTCAGGAATCTGCTGAAGATAGCTTTCTAGTTTAATTTTCCAAGTGATCTAATTATCATCCGAATTATCTTTATCTTTCTTTCCACATCTCTAGTTCCTCTTTCGGAATCTGTTATAACTATAAAACTGTATAAATATATATAGATATAAATATATATATATATATATATATATATAGATATAAATATATAAATAAATATAAATATAATAAATTTAAATATATATATATATAGAAAAAAAACAATATTTCAAAACATACCTCGCAATCATGTTGTTTTATTAATCGACCACTGACAATTTTATCCACATTCCAGGCATAAATATTATGAGTAGCACGAGCTATTTTACCATTTTCTTTTAATTTATTTAAAACAAGCATAGCCTATAAGAATTTTTGATTTTTATAATTCTGTGATAAAACTGGTCATTTGAAAAATACATACAGCACCTAATAAATTTTATAGCGACCGCTAACTTACTTAATTATTGAAAATAAAATTGCTAAAATAAAAAATTACTGATATTTTTCTATCTGCTTTGTGCAACAATAATAACTATGAGACAATAATACTGACATGATATTTAGAAATGATAAAAAAATGCAATCACGCAATATGATCTTCGACGACCCAATCCATATATATGACAAATACGATAAGAAAGATGAATATTTATATCAATCAACTTTAAATGCCCAATTACGAAGAAATGCCCAAATGAACAGAAAAATAAATTAATAAATCGAACTGAAATGTCCTATGAAGAGCCATTTAACACTGTTTATTTTTAACCTGAAGTCTCTCTACTCTAGTCTCTCTACTAGATTCTATATTAAACAAACTATATTATTGGTTAGACAACTTCTGATTAATTTGAATATTTAAATATAATAAATTAAATATAATAAATTATTTCGAGATATTTCATCAAGGTTTAATATTTCTGTAATTTAGTTTTTTTTTAAATTAAGCTTTAAATTTAAATTCTAAACGCTTGAATTTAAAAAAATTAAAACTTAGGAAATTAAAAAATTAATTATAGTTTTTTTCAAAAAATTTAAAAGCTGAAAACCAAATTTTAATTTTTAAACTCTTTTCTACCTCAATCTTTTCTTTTCTAATCTTTTCACTTTCTAACGGGAATAAACTTGTCACATCTAGATGAATGCTAGAAATCAACCTCTATTTTTATGATCTTAGATAGGTTATCTGATTATCTTCATGGGAAATCTGCACTTTCCTACGTGCATGACTAAATGTGCGAACGAAGCCAGACAAAAAATTAAAATGTAGCTATAGAATGAAAGAGGCGAATAATTATGAGTCGGTTCTGTGGTTCACGCAAGAAATTTCGACCATAGCAACATGGAATGTCGAAATCCTTATGGATGTCGGGAATCGGCGCCCATAATCTAAAAACGTAGACATCGCTTGTCTACTGGAATCTTATTTTTTTATTTCTTCCGGAAACACAGCAAACTGTTCCATAGATATTTTAGATTTAAAATCAATATATGTAATGCTTACTTTTTTATTTATATATTTTATATTTTTATATATTTATATATTTTGATTCATTTATTTACAGTCATTTATTTATTATTTCCCTAAGAATGTTCACCACTGCTGGCTAGGCTTCATCTGCTGGCTTATCGAACCAGAAATATTTTGTCAGGGAGTCATCTGACGAAGGAAGTACAGGTGAGCGACCAGCATTACTCTGATTTTTGAAGAATAGATTTGTTCTCAGTGCTCCGAACTAGATAACACCCTACTGAGCCATTCCACCTTCCACTGCTTCTGTAATTCGACGATATTGCCACCCGACATATTCGGCCATATTAAAACCCAAGTGATTCTCGATTATTAGTAACATATCATAATAATTTCTACCAATTATTTTTTATTTCAGTTCTATTAAAAAATTTTTCATTTTTCGTTTTTTGTTTAATTATTTTATTACTTCTACTTGCCTTATTTGGTTTTATAAAGTAATAAATAAAAAATTAATAAATAAATACCTCTTCTTCCGATGTAATGGCAGCAACGTGTGCTTGAAACGTACTTTTACGATCACAAATAACATCTCCACTGATAAATGGTGGTACTTTTTTATCTAAGGATTTATCCATATTACTCGATGTCGATTCAATGACATAAGGTTCTTTTTTTTCTTCTGCAACAGTTTTCCTCTGCATATCCTCCAAAAATCTATTCAAATATTCAATCCATTGATAAAGAACTGGCTCTCCTAAATGACGCATATATATTTCTTGTAATTCGTTCGTTATCATCCGTTTTTGTTCAGGTGTTAACGATGGGCCACTAAACTCAAAACTTGGAGGTGACCTGAAACTAGCAAAAACCCATAAGATATTGAAGATATATTGAAGATGAATAAATGTGAAAAACTTAATTATTAATTAATTCAGAACTAATAATTATTTAAAGTTATTTATAATTAAAATATCGAAATCTTCAAAAAAAATCAGAAACCATTATGTTACGGTAGATGAGAGAGAAAAAAAAAAATTCCATGAGAAAAAAGTTATACGAGGAGAGTACTAAAGAAATCATTTATTTACCTAACTAATATACCTCTAATCACTTAAAAAAGTGGTTCAAAAATAATTTCAACCTCGAAATTTTTAGCCAAAATTCTAATAAAAAGAAAAAAAAGATGAAAACCATGGAAAAGTTTTGCTGTAGTAGTGTTTAACCAATAGAACTATAATTTTACATGCATGCGAATGCATTTAGCTAAAAAATGAGTAAGTAAAACCTTGATGGATAATCGAATGGTAAATCAACTGTTAGCTGTACACTAGAATCAAATTTGACAACAATGCGAGTTTCACTTTCCAAAAAAACAATATCGCTAAAAATCGCTTCAATTGACTGTATTTCTTCCAGTCGCACTGCTTCATCGTCCATTTCCGCTTCCTTAACTCAACTAAAATCGCTACCAATGACCAAGGCACCAATCTTAAATTATAACACTTAGCTCGAAATCAATTATAAAAATCTAACAATTATAATGCGCAATGAGATAGTAAAAAATATAGCTGGTAAGATAAAAAAACGATAAATAGCGAGTTTGAATAAATAAAAATTCAATAAAATTTTTTATAGAATTTAGTGATTCTTAACAGTGATTAAAACAGTGATTTAGTGATTAAAAATGATTTAAAAGCGCAAAAATGAATCAAATAAATTTTAAAGTGCAATAATAAATTAAACAATAAAAATAGTAAAAAATAGTAAAAATAGTGGGAATAAATCAAAAAATAAAAAGAATTATAATTAAGAATTAGAATTATAATTATAATAAATGTAGAAAATAAACGATTTAAATTAAAAAAATGTAGACTTCTCCCGCAATTTTTTTGTCTTTCTAAAACTCCCGTATAAACTCCCGTATTAATCAATTGCTCTTCATTAACATGAAACCACTTACAACCACCAAAAATCAAGTACCAATGAAACAGGTTGAAATTAATAAAAAAGATAAACATGGTAGTAAGGAAAGCCGAAAATTAAAGTTTAGCCCGCAAATTAAAGAATGTTAACTATCAGACGAAGTTGTGAGTTTAAGCTGCTTCTTCAGAAGCAACGGAGTCACAATTTGGAAGCATTTTTTTCCTTTTTTAAAGAACATTGGTGTCGGTTAGATGATAAAGGCTAGTCTTGCGGTAGTTGCCTGGCGGTTTTTCCTTTCTTTCTGGCTAGCTTCATTGGCTATTGAAACCTTTCAAGGATGGGGACACGGGTAGCACCTGGCAGATTTGGTAGATAAACTCCGATTAACAAACCGGCGTGGAACCGCGTATTAGCATGTTTTATAAAGAAGGGAGATTGAGCATTACTGTGGTTCTGTTCGATTATAATTTTGGTTGGGCAGGACAGCTGATAACTCCCAGTGTTTCACTGTGTTCAATGATAAAGTTCAGTTCCATCTGTCCTGGTAGAAACGTCTTATCGAACAGTACAGCTAGCCTAGTGCAGTTCATATATGATGAGCGCTAATTGCAAAAATATAAATAGAATGAGCCACCTTAAGTTATAAATTCATATAAGTCTCTATGATTGGATTTTTTAAAAGTCAGAATTTTAAGGAACGAGAGTTAATGACTATGTAGCCGAAGATTTATAAGCGCAAATTTATAAGCTCTTTTTAGTAATACGCAAAAGCGTATATACTACAGATTCAATAATAAACGCCCAGACGTACAAGCCAAGTGGCTTGGACTGGAGAATAAAGAAAAATTTAAGGGGTTTTGGGTTTCTGGGTGTGCTGCCTGTGATGGATTTTCCTACAAAAATAAGAGAATAATCGGGGGTGGCAATTCAGTAGGAAAATAGGAAAGTAGCAAAAGCTGAATTTCCTTTTCCTGGCCAACCATTAAATTAAATGAATTGGGAAAAAAATTAGGAATTTAAAGTATTTCCAATCTCGAATGATCAAATTGAACGAAATTTGTTGATATCGATTGTTACACAGGATCGAATGTTACGAATAGCCGAAAATGTCTCTTACATACCATAATAAATTGATGAAAATAAAACCGTTGAGGATTAGTCGGAATTCGGAGATTTCGGATTGTTGTTATTCGGGAATTTGAAGGGGTCCACAGGTGAGGGGGCGAAAGGTGAAAAGGTCATAGATTACCTTGTAGAGGTGGTGGGTTAATTGTCAGAAACACTTCTGCTTTTATCAGCTATTCCCATGAGTTTGTTTCAATTTTTTTGTTAATACGCTTTAATTAAATTCGTTTTAAACCTTTTCTTCTTTTTTTCTCTTTTTTATTTAAATATCTCTTTTCGAAAAATTTGAAATTTTGGAAAATTTTCGGAATATATGCAAAGTTTTTTTAAATTTTGAGATGTTTTTTTCAAAATTTTTGAATATTTTCGAAATATTTTAAACTAATAGAATTTTTTGAATATTTTGAATATTCAAAAAATTTTTAGAATAATTTTGCTTGCATTTTTCTTTCTTTTCTTCATTTGTTATTATTTAAAAATTTATTGAAATGAAAAATATTTTTAAATTGTTTATGAGAAGAAAAATGCAAACAGATTTTGGTTACTTTTCTTTTTCATTTGCAAATTTTTTTTCGTGAACGCTTCTAATATTTGTCGTTTCTCAGCACTTTGGATTTTACGAAATTTTCTTATGAATTATCCATCTCAATTATCTCTCTATTGTGGGTTCAGTTCGTGCTCCTCTGTGTGAGGAATTAAAAAACAAATCTGGGTGGTACTGAGCCCCCAACAATACTCCTATTCTTAGTTGGTCATTCGAATGGAATCGGTCTTTATGATGAATAGGAAAGGAGTAGAGACAAATGGTGAGTGCTGTTAAAAGAAATGTTTTGCAGTCTTAATCTGTCACTCTTTTTTTATTCCAGTTCACATTGTTTAAGCACCATTTATCCGAGTGTTAAACCGAGAGTTGCAGTAAAAATAAACTGTTGCACGTATAATGGCTTAATGAATTATTACTGTTATTTTGGAGTGGTGATAGTGGAATTTTTTCTCAATTAAAGTAAACCACTTGTCTTTCAAAAATTTTGATAATACTGATTATTTACATGTATTTTTTAAGGCATTAATTTTTGGTTTGAAATAGTGTATTTCGCTTCATACATATTCGTTTTAATCGGAAATTTATATCAATTCATTGAATAGGATTGAATTTAATTTTGATTAATAGGATTGAATTAGGATTGTTCAATTTATACGAAATGTGGCAATTATCGCTGATAAGAATGACAAATTGTTAATATAATTTTAAAATTTTGAATTTTAAATTTTTTAAAATTAAATTTTAAAATTATATTTCTATTTGAAACTTTAAACTATGTTTTTATTGGGAAATTTTCCTCTCATTGGTCAATCTTTTGGGTTTTAACAATAATTTTACGTTAAATTTCTAATTTTATTGGTCTATTCTTGCTAAATTTTTCTGCTTCAACTATTTTCTCTTTAGCGATTTGAAACAAATTTTTGCACAGGAAATTTATGGCTTTTAATAGAAAGCACTTTTTGAAAAATACTTTTTCAGACTATATCATTTGCAGTTTTTAATGTTGCTATTATCATTTTTTATCAAATAAAAAGTTGAATTTGTTTTAATTTTAGATTTTCTTTTTAAGTTCTAAAAATTGTTTTTCCCGATTTAACTAATTAAAGTCAATTCTTTTAATTAAGAATTAAAGCAATTAGAGGAATAAAGCAAAAGCAATTAAGGTTTTTATAATTTTACATTAATTTTTCTTATGTTTTCATTATTTGTTATCATATTTTTTCAAGAATGCTAAAAATTTTCTTCTTTAGAGATTTGAGTTATAGTGGATGTTTGAAATGCTATAAAAAAAGGATTTTGTTAGATGTTTTTTCTTTGTCTTTCAAATTTTATTTGCGTTAGTTAAGGCGACGTTCTCGAAAAATTTATGCATAAATTATTCCCATTATTTTTTTAGCTTTTTTGCCCAAAAAGTTAATACTATTCTGGAAAAATGTTCGTTTATCTTTGCCTGCAGTTATGGTCTTAATTTGTAAAAATAGCGAAGAACAAATTGTTGAAATGGCTGCTGCAAAACCGAAAGAACGTCAATTCCAGGTCAAAAATGTCGAAATAGTGTTTGGAATTAGACATATGTGTATATGATTTACATACCAGGATTTATTTTTAATAGTTTTTTTAGTTCCAGATACGTATTTCTTAAAAGTTTTAATATATTATTAGTAAATAGATGAAAATTTTTTAGGTTGTTCCTGTTCCCGGGAAATTTACGCGGGGACGTTGGAAATGTTGGGATTATAGGGATGAAGTGAAGGAAATTGGTGAAATTCTCGATTTTACGGAAAAGGATAAAAGTGCTCCTCCTGGAGGTTCTAATTTTTAATGATTGTTTAAAAATTTGATCTGCAATATTATTAAACATTTAATTTCTTAAATCGTCTTTTTTAGAAATAGATTATTTAGAAATAAATATTAATCGAGTTTGAAAACTTTTTTGTATGTTATTTTGAATTATTGGAAATTATAATTATTGGAAATTTTCAGCATCGGTTGAACAGCAAATTTCGAATATATTGCAGTCGAGTGAAATTCAGCCAACAAACGATGAACATTTACTTGGTAACCAAGATTTTTCTTTGCCGAAAATTGCTTCATCTCCAATTGACATTCCTACATCATCCTCAAAGGAATCGAGTACTATTGTTGTTACATCTATAGCTCCTGCATGTATTACGCCTATACAGGGAACTCCTACTTCATTAGATTCTCACATTAATGTGTCGGATGCAGATACAGATGATAATAGAAGGGTGTGTCTTTTAATTTATATTCATTTATTAATCCTTTATCAACTAATTCGTTAGTCTGAAAGTGATTTGAGACCATTTATACCAAGCGATAATATGAAGGAATATCATGAAAAAGTTTGAGTTAATTTTAAATTTAGGCAAAGTTTAAAAGTTTGATTGATTGGACGATTCCACTTGTAAATCTCTATTATTTTCTGTTTGTTGATGAAATTTGTTGGTTTAAATCAGCCGAAGAATTTTTCTTTCATATTTTTTTCCTTAAAATTGATCATAATTTATAATTAAAAATAATTCTAACTGGGTAATACTATATTCTGTATTATAAATTTTGGTCTTTTTTTCATTAAAAATATAGCAATTAATTTTTCTTTATCACTTTCAGCGCCAAATGTCGCTTGACGTCGAATCTCCACAAAATTTGCAACAAGGTCTGGCCGCTTCTAGCTCAGTCTCAGGGGTCCTCCTTTATCTTCCTCCAACTATTTTAAATTTCTTAATTTTTTTGATTTATTTATCGTTTTATCGTTTTATATTATCATTTAAATATAAATATTAAATATGAATCGTTTATTATTATTACATAATTTTTTACATAATTTAATAAACTGCATATTTATATTTACATTTTAGCTTTCTTATAGCGAGAGGAAAACTTATAGCGATAAGATATATCATATCGAATTAAATAACGTATATGTAGGTGTTGATGGTATTTTGAACAATCGAGATTTCAATCGAGGTCAAGCATCTTAAGTTTAGTTCTTGATGGGAATAAACTTATCATTAAAAGCGGGTGGTCAAGTCTGTTGAAGAATCTTTTCTTAGACAGTAGGGTAGCCATCTAGAACAAAAATATTAAATTTATCGTTGATAAATTATTAATAGAAAGAGATCTGTTTATTTGTCTTATAATTTATGGCATAATAATAAAGAAAACCAAGCTTATTGAGTTGTTTGAAGGAGAGCACATTAATTGAATCACTTTGATAAGCAGCATTACTGCATCTTTGCTGGTTCAATTCGTACCCTCTGTCTCAGTAAGAATTTGTAATTTAAAATGATATTTGTTAAGTTACGGTGATAAATCTCATTCTTCAAAGTCAAATTTAGTGTTACTGGAAGTGCTACCTATTGAAAAAATAATGGCCATTTATATTTATTCTTATATTATTTTATTATTTATTCTTTTATACGCTTTTAATTTTAAAATTAATAATTTATCATTAGTAGTTTAAAGAAAATCACAATAATTTTTAGATTTTTCATTCAAATTAGTTCCATTCTGATTTTAAAATAGTTTTTTTAAAGATTTTCTATTTAGTGCAATTAATAGATGTACAATTTTCAGACTATTTTGAGTGCTCTTTCACAACAAACTTCAACTTCATCACTTCCGGAAGTACAGCAATCTGCTACTCTTCCTGTGTTAAGCCCAAACGACGGCGAAGAAGGGTATGTGTTTGTTCTTTTAAATATTTCGCCCATTTTTTTTTACTGGTTTTTCTAGAAGTAATAATTTGATTTTTGATTTCTTAATTAATTATTTAATTGTGTACATTATTTATCAACTGAAAATTAGTTTTCATCAAAATTTTTTCTTTTTTCTAAAATATATTTTTTTTTGTAGAAAAATCTACATTATTTACAAGTAGCCTTGCTAGTTAATTCTAATCAGAATCGTTTGCTAAATAATATTCATATTTCGCTCTCTAATTTTTAATTTTTATCTTTTTTACCTTTTTCTAAATTCCTAGCGGTTGATTTTATGAAAAGCATAAAGAATTCACTTTTTTAAAAATTTTTTTTGTAAAAAAGTCATTTAGGCGAATAATTTTCTAAAATAAGTTGATGAAGAGGAAAAAGAATGAAAAAATTTTCTTTTTTCTTTTTTTAATCTCATTTTTTTCTGCAGTTTCACTGATTTGTTTTACAGTGATTTTAGTTTTTTTTATTCATTCATTATTAAAAATTATGTTCTTAATTTTCTTAAAATTGAATTATTTAATGAATAAGATTCTTTGTGGAGGCTTGTAATCAAATTTGTTAGCGCTGAATACCATCAGCTTATATGAAATACATTACAATGGCTTAATCAACAATAAAATTTGTTTTTGTTAAAATTTTTCTTCTAAAAGAAAACGAAAACGAAAATCTATCGAATTATAACACTTTGTTATCTTTAGAATTTTTTTATATCAATTTGAAAAATTATTTACTCAATTATTATTGAACAAATTTTTTATTTTTTATACAAAAAAATTTAATCAATTATTATCAGTTTTATTATTAGTTACTAATTATCATTAATTTGGAAAAAATCCTTAGAAATATTTTATATTTTTTAATACTTCTTCTTAATTAATTTAATTATTTGATTTAATTATTCAATTAATGCGAAAAAAAATTTAATAAAATCGGTAAATATGAATTATATGGAATATTTTAAAGCAAATTGTAATGTCAATTTTTCGATGAACAAATTTGGTTGAAACTGAAAAGTTTATTTAAATAAATAATTTAATGAAATTATAAATTATAATATTATATATATATTGTAAATAATATATTATAAATAATATATGTTATATATGTTATAGTATGCATATTATATGTTATAGTAAATATGTTATAATATGCATTATTAAGAGAATTTAGAATTGCTTAGGCGATCATAATTCTTTACTTTTTTTCAATTGAATTTTAAATTTTAATTGTTAAAATTTTTTTTATTAATCGAATTTATTATGGGAAAATAATGTACTCATTCATTCAAATGAAACTTTATTTTGAAAATATAAATTATATTTATTACAAATACATTATCAAACAAAATATAAAGGAACCAAACAGAGGTCTCGAGGTTGAGGATGAGGATCTTTATCACCCACAGGAGATGGGAAAGAGATATTAAATATATTTCCATGTTCATATGGTTCTTTTCTTCTTCTTATAACTTCCACCATTACTAGTCGGACTGGCTGCGCTGGCTATGAGGCAAAGATATTTCCAAGCTGCGCACTCTGATGCCATCGTTGATTGCTAATGTTTATATAGTTTTATATATATTTGTAGTTTATATAATTTGGTTAACGATGTTTGAACTATTTGCACTTAATGGTGATGAATTTTTATTTTTGTTTTAAAAGAACAGTTGTTTCTTTCTTATCTAATAGTGAAGTTAGTTCTTTAATTTTATTGAGATTTGAGATTTAAGATTTTTTTAAGATTTGATATAATCCGTTATTAATGGAACTGCTATGTCAGAGAACGGATTTTTGAAATGGTAAACTTTTCGTAATCATTTTGACCGTTGAGGGAAAAGAGGGAAATAAATGGGAACATTTTACTTTATTGGAATAATCAAGAATAGATATGGCCCGAAGGAGATGGAAATGGAACCGAAGAAGAAGGATATAGCGATAAAGATAAGATTTCTGTGATATAGATTAATTGGATTTATGGTTGATGGTTGATTGCCAGTGAGGTCGATGAACGGCCGGTTTTTGATAGGCATTTCATGCAAATAAAGATGTGCAATTTAAGCAATTTAAAATTGATGAGAGAATTATTTTTTTCAATAGGTTTAACATAGCTTCATAATTTTGCAATAACAATAATTTTCGCAAATATTTAAGCAGTAAAAAGTTTTTTTTCTTTTTTTTTTACCGTCGAACATTCGTTAAGCAAATATATGTAAAAAGCGGGTCGATTTATATATTTGCTTAACAATCATTATTTGTTCATCTTTTATATTCATTTATTATTTTAACTTTTCATATAAATGTTGATGATTTGCTAATAATTCGAGTTATTTTCTGGCGACTCCACGACTATCATTCGTTATCATCCATCCATTTTATATATAAATACGTCGTCCATCAATTCATTTATTTCTTTCTCTGTTTTTCGTTTCGTTCGCATTTCGTATTTTAGCCCCTTTTGCCTTGTTTTTTCTCTTTGTTAATTCGGCTATTTTATAGAAAAAGAGGTGATTTTAATGTCACAAAATATCGTAGGTATAAAAATTTTCTAAATTTTTATTTATTATAAAAATTTTATTTTTTAAATTTTTTGAAAAATAAGCATGCAATATGATCTGATTTGTATTGTCTAAATCACCGTTTCACATTTCGATTTTCTCGAATGCTCTTCTCGAGTTCTCTAATCCAATTGAAAATTCAGAAAATCCGGAAAATTTTGTAGATTCATCGATGCTTCTTCGATCCACAAATGTCGCTCTTTTGCTATAGCCTATAGAGCGATGCTATTTGTATTTTAAGATAACTCTTAAAATACAAGTTTAAGAAGACAAGTTTAAGTTTAAATTAAGAATTTTAAGAATTTTATTACCTAATAAAATTCGAAACCTTCAATATATTAGCTTATTAATATTTTTAATTTATTTGCGAATAGAGCAATAATATTTGTTGTTATTTCATTTTAGAGTAATGTTTTAAATTTTAGCAATAATTAGAGTAATAGAGTAAATTTTTTTAAAGGAAATTTTAAGTAAAGTTTTCGTTGATTTCGTGATTTCTTTATGGATTATTGATTGAAAATGAAAATTATGATTGATTTTCACGTGAAATAATCGTGTTAAATGATTATTTGCATGATTTGTAATGATAACAACAATAATAATATCAAATATATTTTTTAGTTTATCCATTTATTCATCTTTTCTTTATTGAAAAGAAAGAAAAAAATATTTATTGAACATTGTACTTTTATTTAAACGCACGATTTTCTATCGATAATTTTCTTTATTTTTTTCGTTCCAAAGCGCTAAAATTTGTTTTCGGACATTTACGCATATTTTTATCGAATTATTCGCGTTTTTTATTTCTTTTCATTTTCCTTTATATAATAAGTCTAAAATTTTTAAAATTTTTTTGTTTTGGAGTTTTTTTTAAATCGAAAATCGAAATAATTAGAGAAATATTGAAAATGAAAATAAGGAAATATATACGTGAAAAATATGGACAAATTTATGGATCTGCAGATATTTTTTGGCTAATTAATTGGTTGGGAAAGAAATAAAATTATTCCAAATGATGGTCGTTGACGAGAATCGTATACAATCATCGCCATCATCACCATCACGGCGTTGGTCAGCAGCAAGGTTTATGCGAATGACATCTGTTGAGGAACTTGATTCAAGTCTAACTTTATTAACGAATTGTTATTCACCAAAAAAATTCAAGCCAACAAGTTCAATATTGACATCATCACAATACGCAAATTTGAAAAGTGATTGTTTCTCACCACCGTCATCAGTACTTTGCTCATCACTCAATTCACCTGATTTTAAAAATCTTTTATTATCACCGACCTTATCAGTTGATATTTACAATAATTTTAATAATCAGTCGTTATCCTTTTTTGATAAGAATAATAATAGCAGTAACAATCATAAGAATAATGATAATATTCGTAATAATAATTATAATAATAATGATGAATACAAACTGAATCAGTCGAATGGTTCAGCACTAGTAATCGCCACAGATGCGCAATATACTGCATTACCCATTTCCTCATTTCCAAGGTAATTTTCTTCATATCTTCATTTTAAAAGTTATAAGGAGTAATAATAAGCATTTATTAGGTGTAAAATTGTTTAATTCGTTATTGCTTTCATTTCGAAGCACCGTCTCTATTATCGGCAAGAATAAATTTAATTGAAAAATCGACGTGATGTTGGCCATCATCCGTTTATGCTTCTATCGCCAAGTTCCTCCCTAGAAAAATTTATCTGGTCCGATTGATCAGCAGACCGAGCCTAATTAGGAATGGTTAAAGCTTTCAGGAGGAACTGATTAATATTTAGTGATATTCTCATTAAATATTAAATTGAACCTGCTGAAATTATTGTGAATCATTTACTGGAAATATCAAATTCCAAAGTTTATTATAATATTGAAATTTATGAGTACCACGAATTATTTAATGGCAGTAATCTCTTGTTTAATCAGTTTTAAATCTAATATTTCCTAAGTCCTTTTTAATTATTTTTTTCTCTTCTCACTTTTTGCCAGATTTAATTATTTAATATTAAATTGGATAATAATGAGTGACTGGATTCTTCTTCATTCGTTATATTTTATTTATTATTTTTACTACTTATTTAGTACTATTAGTTAATAATTTACTTAAAGTGGCCTTATATTCCTTATTTCCTCTCAGCAAATAGTTCAAGCTAATTAATATTTAATTTTATTTTATACTGATTTCAGTGCAAATTATAGGACAACGGGTGGTAATATCACAAGCGGAGCAAATGTTGTTGCTATTGATAATAAAATCGAACAAGCAATGGTGGGTGAATCGTCGTTTAGTTTTTTTCTAAATTTATTTTTTTTTTTAATTAGTACAACGTATAAGGAAGTTTTCTTTCTTTATTTCGCGTTGTACCTTTTTTTTTTAAAACTAGTTGTAGCCTTTTTTTGATACTAAATCATGGTGAATAATTCCAATGAATAGATGTATAGCGGTAAGCGGTCGGCGCTTACCATTTCTCATTAGGCTTTGTAAATGATGAAAACGAGAGATTTTGGGAATAGCTAAATGGTGATAAAAATCGTGTTGCGACACTCAGATTTGCGACACTTTATCACTGTTGATAGTCGATAATAGGATCGAATTTCAACATTAAAAATGACGCTTATGCTAGGCTATTATGCCACAAAAGAAATGCTAGATTGTGTGATATTTTGTGCTCTCATTTACCATATAAATGTTATATTTTATATATATATATATTTCTGTCGATAGCAATTTTTTGGCATAATAAATGGTGAAAACAATTTTTATTCGTAGGATTTGGTAAAGACTCATTTAACGTTTGCCGTCCGAGAAGAAGTCGATGTTCTTCGATCAACTATTGTTGATTTGGAGGCTAAAGTTTGTTATTTTAGAGATTTTCTTCTTGTTTTCTTTTTCTTTTCAATACGTGATGATGCATGGTTTATTTATAAATCAGTAAAACTGCTTAACTGTTCATTTTTTTTTGTTATAAACCATTACTTTAATGCATACTTAAATGCTTTTTTAAGTGTAGAATCTGAGTTCTTTCTTAAGACGATATATTGCTAATTGCTGATAACAAAATGCTGTTGTATTTTCTGGTTTAGGTTGCGTTACTAGAAAGTCAAAATCAGGTTTTGAAACAGTTCGCACCTGCCGAAGTTGTCGCGAATCTTGCACTCCTCGTTCAGAGTGGTCAGCACGTTCAGCAAATGAATGTGCATTCTGTTCCTGCTAATGTTAATGCTCAGGCAAATGCAGCATTAGGACAGGTAAAATTTTTTCGTTCTTTTGAAAAATTGTGAACTGAAAAATTATTTCGAAAAAAATCGTTTTTAGCTTTTTCTATGCATTGCACCTTTTTTTGTTTTATTTTTTTTCTTTTTTAAATAAGTTTTCTTAAGTTTTTTTTCTTTTTTATTTTATTTCCTATTATAATTTTTAATAAAAAAATAGTTTTTTATTTTCTACTACTGTCCTTATTTTGGAATAAGGAATATTTAGAAATAATGAAGGTACGAAGGAATAGAAGGAATAGAAGGTAAGAAGGAATATTGAGTTTGTTTGTGAAAAATTTTGTGTTTTTTTCTGAATGTTGCAAGTTTTTTTTGCTTGCAGTCAGTTTCTGTCAATCAGTTGGTAAAGCAAAATCAACAACCATCATTTTCGACAAATATTGCAAAATCATTTGAAACAAACTCGACTATCGGAACTAATGATGCGACGCCAAATCCTTCAGCAACAAATCTCACTGGTTAATAATGACATTAGAAATCAACTGGGTCAATTTAATCGCTATTTGACCTTTTTTGAATTTTTTCATGAATAAATTTAACATGTGCACTGGTATTTTTTCTTATTTAGGAAATATAACAATGAAATTTGGTTCCTTAAACATTTTTTGAATTTTTTATTTTTAAAAAATTTATTGGACTTAAATGAGGGGAATAAATTGTAAATGAAGGAGAATTATATTGATAAGTGGTTCCGTTAATTTATAAAATATTTTTTTCATTGTTGTTCAAATGTTAAGTCTTTTTGTCCATTTTTTGTGAGAATTTAAACGAAATTTTTAACCAGGTTTCGGGAGAGATTCGATGATTATGAAGAAATATTGAATTCTAGCCTTGTTATAAAAATTTATAAAGCTTTACTAATTATAAAGCTACGTTTACTTTTCGTGAATTTAGAGAAAATATTCAAACTAAATGGAGAATTATTTAGGCATTTGTTGATATGTTTTTTAAAGTTTTATTATTATTATTATTAGTATTATTATTATTATATTATAAGGATAGGATTAGATTAATGCTGCATTCCACTATTGCATTACCATTACATTATGTGTGGTGATTAGTGGTATAGTTTTTTGGGCGATTTTGCCATTGCTTAAACCAAAAACATTGTTGTATTGAAATTCCGACGATTAATTTCTTGGTTTTTTTTAGTTTGTTTTTGTAATTTATGCTTTGCTAAATTTTTTCGCTTATATTATTCGCTTTAGAAATTTGATATTTTGTTATTTAAAATATAAATAAAAAAAATCACTATAGAATCGATAATTGGCATTTTTTTTCCAAAATTTTTTAATTAGTTACAAAATTATTCAAAATAAATATAAGCGAAAAATAATAATCGAAATTCATAAACAATTATGCATTTCTGCTGAGCGAAAGAATATAGCGAGTAAGAATGAAAATGGTTAGCTTAGCATGTTCTATTTGCAAATTAGGCGAACTCTCGGCTGGCCACTGGTGTGGTGTGGTCAGAAATTTTGACTAAAGAGTCAGTTGGCAGTCGAAGGACAGATGAAGCGCGGGCGCGCGAAATTTTTATGTTGATTTATTATTTCTGTCGGATGCGAGCATTCGGAGATATCCACTCGGCTAATAGTGTTGGCGGAAAGGCATATTTCGAATCATGAAAATTTTTAATTTTTTAATTCGGTGATTAATCGTAAAATTAAGGTCAGCAGTGAAAAAAGAATAATTTTTTCTAAATTTGTAAATGGGCATATTTTGTTGCGTATATAAATTTATTGAAGCAAAAATGATAATGATAAGAATGATAAATATTAATGATAATTTTAGTTGAGGAAATATTTGCTGATATGATAAATTTAATAATACGAAATAAGAGAGCAAAAATCTCGTTTAAAAGGATTTTTTATTCACCAATTTGCCAAATGAAGAAATAATATCGAATTCGGCGAATACAAAACGTCTTAAAAATTAGCAAATTTCACAATTTTTTATTGGGATATGAAATTCGAAAGGAATTTCAATTTTGCGTTCTTTGATTAAAATCGTGAATTTTATCATAAAATTTAAAGATTTCGGCAGAAATTAGAAAGAAACTGAGAGTTCACGAGAAACGAGAACGTGGCCCACGTCTTCACAAAGTGTTACACTGGTTAGGCAAAATTCCTAGCCACGAGTAATTGACGCGTATTTCGCTACTTCGTAAGCCATTTGATAAATGGCCTTGATAAATGAGATGGATATCATCAATCAAGTCGTTGAAAGAGATTTTGAATGCATTGGCGACGGAGTTGCTACAGTTAGAAAACAGAGCTTAAAAGTTTCGCCAATAGTATAAACCGGTAGAAATTGCGTTTGAGGTATAAGACGAGAAAGAGAACCAGAGGAACACAGCTCCTTTCACCAATAACTCTCACGAATACAAAAATTTTGAATTTTTAGCCAAAAATTTTTCCTGAAATTTTTTTTTTTTCCAAATTAGTGCAAATTTAAACATGATAAACATTTGTGAATAATTCGTCTTATGGTGGTGAATAATTTAGCAGTAGCAAACAGGTTTTACATAGGTCTATTAGTCATTATCAGTAGTTTTCGGCATTCAATGACACCTGAAGGTGTTTCACTCACTATTCCTTACTTTTTAAATTTGTGGATCTATTTCTATTTTCTTTTCTAAAACTCTTCGCCATTTCTGGTTAGGCAAGTTCCATCGGCTTTTCCAATTAATTGATTTAAGGCCGAAATTCAAGTATTCTAATTTTCATTGGTGAAAGGAAGTTTTTTTTATGATTTATACTATTTATTTTAATTTTAAACGAAAATACAGCTCTGAAGTAGAAAGATGAAGGTGCAATAATAAAAAGAAAGACACAACGTTCATGAAACTCATAAACTCTACAGATCACAAAAATGCTTGGAAGAGAAATTATGGCACGATGCACTGGCACAGAGATATCTTTCTTTTCTCACAATCAGTTGGAGAGGGGGGGAGGGGGTGGGGGAGAGATGAGGGGAGGGGAATGAGGATATGTGGAAGCATAATTCGAATTTATATGAATTTTTATCTTATTTAAAACATAAATGATTTTATTGCTTATTTATACAATATTAATAATTTATACAATTTATTATACAATAAGTTCGTTATAAATTTATTCAAAATCCTTAATTGGAAAAATTGAAAATTTCAAAATCGGCGAATTTAGAATTCTGGGAGTTCTATGGATTTTTATGGCATCGAAAGTGGGTTTGCAGGAAGAAAAGTTTTGCTACCACTCCTAAATTTCGTTCATCTTGCAATGCTTTTTTTGACGCTTTATTTAATTTGTTTAGCACTACTAAAAGGGCCGAGCCTAGCCTAAGGGGCGTTCAGAGTCATCTCTAAACATTGGTATCAAAATCACCGATATTTATTTCTCGTATTATGTCTCCTTAAGATATCTTTAAATTCTGATCATTTTTGATTTCTATTCCTCTGATAACTATGATAACTGCCACTTTTGCAGTTTACAACAACCGTAGAGAAATAAAAGAAATACTATTCTCAAAGGTACTAAATTTAGGTCAAATGTAGGTCCAAAATATTTTTAAAATATATAAAACTTTTATTCGCCTATACCTTTCTATTATTATCCTAAATTTAATAAGGTTTAATTTATTAGAGTAAGATTTATTAGAGTTTAATTTATTTTTTACGTAGTGATATCGGCGATTTACCCGTACTTCTATCGTTTGAAGACTCCCTGGCATATTTATGCAGTGAAATAAGCCAGCGGAGCGAGTTTAAAGGTGAATTGCTCCTTAAAAAAAAATCCATTAGTTATTTGAAAATGAATAACTTAGATTCTATGAAGAATTAACGAAGAATTTAAAATGGTCTAATTTTAATTTACATTAGATTTAGGTTTTATTAGGTTTATTATTTTGTTAGGTTTTTTCACCAAAAGTTATTCATTCAACTACTTCTAATCTCGTTGGCTTTCACCAGACGGGCTATTATCTTCCTTTTTTTTTTTTTTTTAGCGTACCAACGATTGTCGTCATATTGGTTTCTTATTGGCTTTTTCGTATTCACTGGCTCGTGTCGAACTATTTCCTTTTGTTAATATTGTCATCTTATTATCATTGACTCCTTTTCCACTTATGTGTCACCAAAATATTGGTAACCCAATTGCTTTGCCATTAAACCACCAATGAACCTCACTGAGATGATGCTTAGTGCCTTATTATTAATTGCTTTTAGTAACGAAAAAGATGCATTTGCCATTCTCCACGTTTCGCTATATACTATCATTTCTTCCAAAATTCTAATTCCACAATCGATTCCACAAATTTATTTTATAAAATAAAATTAAGAACACTTAATTTTTCCTTTGCAGTATTAAATTTAATTATTACTGGCATATTTAATTATTTGCATTTTTTGCATATTTTTTCGTAAACAAATAAATAAATAAAAATTCTACAAATTTTCTTGCACATTCTGCAAAAAGCCTTAGTTTTAAACGATTTAAGCACCAATACAAAAGAAGTTCTGATTGCTCTGATAAGGATTGACTCCATGTCGTTATCATTTGCTTATCTGTAGAACAGTTTTAGTAATAAATTTATAATTTGGATCTTTCTAAATTCTGAACTCACTGTTTATACTCACTGTTCACTGTATTCATTATAATCGCTTTTTTATAAATTTATGTTTTTTTTTTACAGATATGAAAATTTCACCGTGTTGTTTTGCTGGTTTATTTGGAGTTATACTACTTTTTGAGGCTATTGGAGGAGCTTATATATTTAGCACAATTCAAAATCTCGAAAGGCAATTTCAAATATCGTCAAAATTGTCGGGATTTATAGTTAGCGCAAGTGCGTCTCATATTCATAAAAATTTTCAAAAGTCTCAACTAAAGTCTCAACTAAGTCTCGATGAAATTAACCAAATCAAAAGGGGTGAGCGTTATGGCGAAAGACCGGTAGAATCGTTAGGTGCGTTGAATTTCACCGCCTCAGGCAACAAAGCCTACGCTGCAATTCTTTTGAGCATCTCTAATCAATAGCAAATCTACCAAATGAGTTACCTTTTTTTTTAAAGATTTTAATGGTTTTTAAGTTTTTATAGTAAAAAATTTAGCGAAATTCGTTAAAATCAAAAAAATTTATTCAATTGAAATCAATTGTGATTTGAAATTTAAAATAATAATTTGTAGCGATTTTTCAAAATATTTTATATGAACGAAAAAATTTAATTGGCAAATAATTGGCAAATTCAATTAATCTTTAAACCACTAATTAACCTGAAATTACACTAAATATTTCTTTTCTTATTATTTTTTTAATAATCGAAAAAATCGCTCTTTGGTTTTCGCTTGGTAATCGATGAAATTAACCAAATCAAAAGGGGTGAGCGTTATGGCGAAAGACCGGTAGAATCGTTAGGTGCGTTGAATTTCATCGCCTCAGGCAACAAAGCCTACGCTGCAATTCTTTTGAGCATCTCTAGAAAAATTTTTGAGAAAAACCCGTTTATGTTTAACTTCACATTTAATTATATAAAAAGCAATTGAGGTGATTATAATTGATATTTTTTTCTAAAAGCCCTCTGGTTACGCTCATTTCACTGGCTTTTGAGGCAAATTTTGCTATAGACTTGGCTATAGAAGTATACTTGGACCTCGGGACTTTTAAAAGGCAAATGCACTTTTACTTCTGCCGGAAGTGGTAGTTAGCTTTGGCGCTCCGAAATAGCAACGAGTCACTAAACCATTTTATTCCAGGTTCGAATGAATACATAAATATGCATAAAATGTATTCATTTCAACAATTCAAGCTCGAATTTTTTTTTTCCATTTTATCACTCATGTGGAATTATGTAGAATTTGAATTATTTTAAAATTTCATGCTAATTTGCAACTGATAAGAACTGATAAAATGAACGAATTTCTAAAAATAGAAATAAAAAAATTTGAATGTATAAAGAAATGATTAAATTTTTGAATTTTTTTCTAGATTTCAGGTGATATTGGGTACATATCAACAGCTATATTCATTGCATATTTTGGTTCAAGAGGTGACAGAGCAAAATGGATTGGTTTCGGTGCTATATTGGCAGGTCTCTCTTATTTAATGGTTGCATCACCAAATTTTATTTTTTCTGCACATCGACCCGTTATTAATAATACTCATTTGGAGGTTATCGTTTCTTTCTCTTTCAACAGTGCTATATTTCCTCTTATTGCCGAAGGCAATATTCCATGCTTATTAGTTTTTATTAGATTCAAAAGATCAAATTCAATTTACTCGCTTGTTTAGCTCGAGGGAAAATTGTTACAAAATGAAATGGAAATTGGATATGATTTCAAACGAATTTATTTTTCCTCGTTTTTTTTTCGATTTTATCTAGTATTTTAAAAAAATTTCATCGTTTAAATTAAGTTCCAAAATCTTTTTAGGAAAAATTAAAGCCGAGATCTGAACTATTATCAGCAAACGTTTCATTATTAGATCTCCTAGAATTTCCATTAATCAACGATCGTTTAATGATACCTATGCGAGAAGCTGTATTTATGCGCTTATACGAAGTTGAATCAAGCAATGCTTCTGATAATCAATTTATCACTTCTAATGATATAATTTCGATGGAAAATCCATATTTTGTGGATAATTACTTATTTAAAAAGGTAAAAGAAAAAGAAATTTCTAATTATATATATAATTTTATTATATATTATTTTATTTCTTCTACGAACCGAAATGATATTTCGAAGGTTTATAAATTATTATAGTTTCTTTGGAGAAAAAATTTTCATTATTTATTATTATTTATATTAATATTTTTTATTTATTTTATTATTATTTTTATTATATTTAATATAAATATTTTAATATTTAATATTTAATATTTACTATTTTAAAAATATATAATCACTTATCAATCAAAAAACGCTTCGTAAAAAGGCAAAAAATTTAGATTTTATCCGAATTAAACGACTTTATAAAAGGTAAAAATAATGAAAATGAATTAAAAATGTTATTGCAAACATTCATCAACAATCGTTTAATAAATTCCACGGAAGATATGAAAATAATTCGAAAGACTGCAATCGCTCCTTTTTCTTTCTGCAATCAAGCAATGAACGATTTTCGCAATAAAATTAAGGTCCTTCATAAAATTTTTTAAAAAAATTCAACAAAAAAGATGAAATACAAAAATTTCGAATTATCACTTATCACTTCTCGTTAGGTTCACTCTGTTGACTTATAGGATAAGATAAATTATAATAAATGGATAATCACTTGAAGAGAGAAGAGTATAAATAACCCGTATCTGCCGTCCGGATTTCTAAAGATTTGCTCGTACGGAGAGCAGAACATCAATATCGATGTTCTGAAACGAGGCTGATAACCTCGTTTGAGCCAAAAAAAATTTGATTAGTCTATGCGTTAAATTCTTATAAGATTTTTAAATTTTAATAAAATTTCATATTTTATATGGTTTTAATTATTTCTATTTAGCGCTAATTAATTAATAGAGTTTTTCACAATCGTCGCCTGAGGATATTAATGAATATAATTAGATTACGGGGCAGCAAATAGTAGAGCATAGGAGACAAGTCTAGAAAACTTCCTAAGCTTTCAGTTCAGTAAACTACTGAATCACTGATTCTTACCATTGTTGATTAGGTTTGCTTCAGTTTGTTAGGTAAATTTTTTCTAAGAAATCTTCATTTTGCTAATTGAAAGACGTGTTTTAGGGAATTACGTGCAGTTATAAACCGTCTGTGTGGGGACCATCGCTCGTCTTGATCATTGGACTGATTGGTGTCGGCGTGAGTCGGTCTATGCCTTGGTCTCTTGGCATACCTTTACTCGATGATACTGTTAAAAAACGCCAGCTTCCCAGTTATTTTGGTATTTTTTATTCAAATCCATCTTTAACTCGTATTTAACATTTTAAATATTTTAAATCGTTCATTAGAATTTTTATCATTTTTTCTATTTTTTTTGCAGCTGGTGTTTCGACACTAAAAATTCTTGGACCAGTTTGCGGATTTTTGATTGGAAGCCTCTGCAATAGAATATATTATAATCTTGAGCGTTGGTAGATTTAAATTTTAATCTATCTAATTCTTATTTTTCGAAATTTATGATTTATTATAAACTTCATAGAAATTTTAAATTTTATTTAAATAAAGAAAAATTTATATACTAATAAAATTTTTATAAATTTAAAAAATATATAATTTTCAGCGGCTGAAGGTTTAACTGCGAACGACCCAGCTTGGATTGGTGCTTGGTGGCTTGGATTTATATTCATAGGCATAATCCTTTTGATCACGGCAATTATATTTGTTGCTTTTCCACCGAAGTAAATTTTTTCTTGTAAATTTATATATATATATATATATACAAAATAACTAACAAAATAACCGGTTTTTAACCTAAAATGAAAACCATCTTTAGGCCTAATTAAATCGACAATTTATATTTATAGACTGAGAATACACTGCATATGTTATGAAATTATTTTATAGATGTTAAGATTGTGATAATGATAAGAATAGCAATGATAATAAGCCCCAAAACCAAATATGAAAATATTTTTAACTTGATTATATCTCTTAATAAGCTAATTTTATGCCGTTTTCTCTAATAATATTTACCATTTTTAATTTAGCTAGCACCACTGGTTACACATGGCAGGTGACACTTTACCAACGTGACACTTGTGAAATAGAGTGCACATGAGGCAACGAATGAGCATTTGAATTTTAAAATTAATGATAGGTTAAAATTAATCACAGGTGTAGGGTCACAATGCTTGACAGGTGCAAGAATATACGTTTGAATGTCCTGCAAGCAATCTTATTCTTCTCATTCGTTTTGTCATTAAATTCACTATCTTTTCTCATTTCATGGAAATTTTTAACAATTTTTATAGGTCGACGGCAATGACTAACAGCCGCAATACGCAAATAAAAAATGAATATTCTTCATCTGCTGTGGTACAAAAAACTTTTAATAATAATCGAGAGGTGCAACAAAATGTAAAATGTATAATCTTAGAGGATTCGATTCATTAATTGAGTTGAAGGCGATCCTTAAATATTTAATTTTTTTCCGAAGAGCGTTTCACCATTTCACCATTGTTAGATTCACTCCACTGTCGAACCAAATAAATTTTACTAAGAAAAAATTATTTAGTAATAGAAATACAGATGAGATCGCATTAAGAGGACTTTTAAAAAAGGATTAGCTCCTTCTGAAAATAGAATCCCCACATCGGGCATTTCGAAATAAGCATTCCACTAAGCCACTGTGTCGCCTATGACTTCGCTGTTGTAAATAAGCCATTCTTACATATATATATATATATATATATATATATAATATTCCAAGGAGTCCATTGAGGATAGAAGTAGATGTGAGTCGCCAGCTTCACTCCAATTTTCCGATAAGTTTATCTCTACGAGGAATCGAACCTTAGCATGGGCATTCCACTATATATATATATATATATAAAATAATATGCAGGAATTAATGAATAATCTGAAATAAAACTGGAAATTTTAAAATTATTTATAAAATATGAAAAGAATTAAGGAAAGTTTCAGTATTTTGGAAAGCTACTTATAACGAAATTAGTGCGAAAAGGATCTATCTCGCACTGGTTTTTGGACGCATAATTGACTCTCTCGCTTTTCGTGGATACCTTATTTTTTTGCCAAAATTTCTCGAAAGCCATTATGGAGTACCTCAACACAAAGTTCATATGCTACTGGGTAATTTTAAATCAAATTAGAAAATATAAATATGGTGTAAAGAATAACGAAATCTTTCTTTCCTAATTGGCCAACCTTATTTTTAAGGATACATTTCGGCGAACTTCGGTATTGTAAAAAACCTATTTTAATTATTTCAACGATTCAAACCTTATTGCAGTCTTAAACTTTTCATTTTGGTGCTTTTCGCTACCAGAAAATGCTTTTAAAAAAAAAAGCGCATTTTAAAATTTCAACATTATAGCATTATTTGGAATAGTTGGTTTTGCCACTGGAACCATAACCGGCAGCATAATTGTGCGAAAATATAAATTTACTGGCCGGCAAGCTGCTATTTTTATTTTAATATTTTCAATTATGAATATTTTGGTGTTTGCGTCAAAAATTTTCCTAGGTTGTCATTCAGTTGTGAATAGCATTGACGCAACTGTCAGGTTTGTTTCGAATATACAAATAAAATACAAATATTTACATAAATAAGTTGAATTTTATGAATAATGAAAATTTACAATAGCGGATTTACTAGAGAAAAAGTAAGAAAGAAGAAAGATGTCTTCGCTAAATGATTTATATGTTCTATCGAATGTGCAACATAAATCATGGTACTAGGTATCATGAAAATTAAGCGCCTCGTATTGTTTCATGTAAATTTTCTTCTGCAAATATTTTAGAAATTTTATTATTGAAAACTCGAATTTTTGAATTTATTATTTCTTGCATGCAAAAAATTATATAAAATTAAATAAATATAAGAATTATTAAAATTAAATTTATCTTCATTTGAATACAATGCACTTATAATAAGAATATAGTAATTATATTTTTATTTTAATCATATTTTTAAAAAATAAAAATATATTTTATAGTATGCGATTAGCAATTTTGAACCTTTAAGCTAAAATTTCTTTTAATTTAACTGTCATATTTGATGCCCAAATTATCAATTTTTTATAGCTCGCAAACGAATCACAGCCTCACCAAAAATTGTAATAAGAACTGCGGTTGTGAGTTTGCGTCTCTTTTCCCGATTTGCAGTGAAAGCGGTCAAGCATTTTTCTCACCTTGCCATGCTGGTTGCCGTGAGGTGGGATTTACTCTATAATATAAGAAAATAACTGCAATTTTTGCTTGAATTTGATAAAGGTTATGGAAGATTATGGAAAATAGAATGAAGTAAATCTGTGTAGAATTAAGTTGTTTCCGATTCCTAGCGGCCATACTGATAAATGATCTCCTTATCAATCATTTTTCTCCAATCTGACCATTCTTTCATCTCGTTGCAGACTACCTTTCCTTAATCTTTCCTTGTATGATCTACTAATAATTGAAAATTTCAAAGATTTGATATGATTCTTTGATTTTAAACCATTTGTCATTATTTTTTAAGGTAAATGTGAATTATGAAAGTACTGATAAACTTGAATTTTCGTCGTGTGATTGCCTTCCTCGAACATTGTTAAAGAAAGAATACTGTAAAGATAATTGTTCTATAATGCTGATAATATTTTTTATTGCTGCTATAACTGGTTCGTTCGTTGGTGGAAATTGTTTTGTGCCAGGAGTATTATTGCTATTACGGTATTTCATTTTATGTCACCTATCATGTGTTTGCTAAGTGAATCAGTCCTACGTTCAGAATTTAGTTTAGCCAATATATATAATTTCAGAATATAATTTAGCCAAGTTTAATCGCATTAAATCCTCTTACTCATATTTCGCTTTTATTCCTCTCCTTTGTATCCCTTAACATTCCTTCGAGCACTCTACAATTGCCAGCCGGAGGGAATGTAACAGAAAGGCACGAAGAGTCGACAGTATTGCAGGCTAATATAACGGGCTTGTTGAGGAGCTTAAGATGCGGTTTTATCAAAGACCAATGCAATCTAATGACGCATTAAAAATGATAAAGAGGATTTTGGAGGATAACAGTAAGCGCTAAGGGATTCATTACTACAGGTCTAACTATTTCCTCCAAATTTATCTTCCCCCCTTAATTATTGCTACGATTTGCATTTTATTAATCCGATATTCGCAAAAGTACACAGCGAGATAGGAGATAGGGGTATTTATAGAAATGACTAATATTAAATTGGAGATTTAGGACTGCAAATGGAATAGAAAGGAGGCGTTTAAAATGCTTTCATCCTGATGGATTATGGTTGGGTTTCGAATCGTTTATAAGGATATTTTGGAGGTTTATAATTGTTATAGTCTGTCTCTAACAGAACAAATCGAGAGAATGTAATGGTTCCTTGGTGCTTTACAAGCTAATTTGATCAAAAAAAGAAAAAATTTTATTTTTTTGTATTAATTTAATAAAAATGAATTTTATCTCAGTATTGTCTCAGAATATTTATAGATCGGTTCCAGCATCGCAGCGTAGTATTTCATTAGGCCTGCAAGGACTTCTCGTAAGCTTATTCGGAACTCTTCCTTCGCCAACAATATGGGGTGTTATAATCGACAGTGCCTGTCTAGTTTGGAATCATCCTTGCTTTAATGAAAAGGTTTAATATTCTCGTCATAACAAGCATAATTTCTTTAGAAATCATTAATTCTGAATGGAATAAAATGGTAAAAAAACGAAAAAAACTTTTTACTATTTCGAAAATATCACCAAAATCAAAATCAAATATTATTTCCACAGCAATAGGGTTGTTTTAGTTTTCGACCAAAGCTCACCATTTCTTTCCACCGGTTTGTCGGATTAGAAAAATTCACTTGTTGGTGATGAAGCGAATCGCTATCGCCAGCCTCATCTCCACTTTTGTAAAGCACATTCACTTCGCCTCAAGACAGTCCAGAAGCCCAGCATTAGCGCTGAAATGAGAGTAGCAATCCACTGTGCCGTTCGATTCCCTAAATTTCCTTCTATCTTTTTTTATATCTCCAAAAATATTGTAAAAAAAAAAAAATTGCAGGGTGCATGTGTAATATATTCGGCAGATGCTTTAAGAACTCGCATGCATTTGACTTATATAATAATACGAGCCATATCGCTAACAACCGATATCTATGTTGTTCGTAATTCTAAGGAGATAATTCTATTTGATGAAAAGGATACATCGCAACGACAAGAAAGGCTTGAGATGAAATCAATTTGAATACCTTTTTTTTTCGTGTTTCATGAATTTTCCAACTTAATCAAGTCATTAGTATAAGCCATCTATATCAGAGTTTCTCAGTCGGAGTGAATTCGACCTCCCGAGGACCCCGATCGACATCGACGAACCGATGGATAAGTTATTTTCCAAAAAATTTGCACTTTAATAAAAAAATAGAATGGATTCACATGAGGGCACTCGTGCCAAACATGGTTCTAGAAGTGCATTGTTTAAAAAATTTCGGAGATCACCCTTAACTTCGCAAAATATTATATGGCATAGTTCGTCGATTATCAATCCAGAGTGGAGGTCGCGAATGAATTTTTAACCTAATTCGTTCTAAAATGGAATTTAAGAAAGCTTTAGGAAATATGAAGGAGGAATAGGAGGAAACTTATGTTATGAAAAAAGGTATCTCTCGTAAAAATACGAAATTTTCCTATTTTCAAATATAGCCTGCAGCTCTATGCAACATTTGCGATGAGGAAATTCACGTTTTGCGAATTTCTAGCGAAATCTTAAAAATAGAATTCCCAACGATTTTACATTACTCGTAAGTGTACAAGCATTCTGCAACTGCGAAGAATATGCAAGAAGAAAAATTTTTCCGATATTTTTTATATTTTGTTGTAAATGAAAGAGCATAAACATTTGAATAATCTTCTTTTTCCACAACTCTTCAACAATAATAACGAAATTTGCAATAATTTTCTTGCACACTCGGAAGTACACTCGCTCGCACCGAAAGGTAACTCTTTGCACCGTTTCATCAAGATTTTTAATTCTGCAATATAATTTCTTCTCTAAATTGACAAACTTAGGGTTTTAGGCATAACTTTTCTTAATTAGAAATAATTTAATAATAAAGAAAGTGCTTAAAAATAAGAAATAATAAGAAATAAATATAAGAAATAATTTAATAATAAAGAAAGTGCTTAAAAATAAAAATATAAATTTACAAATAAACATAAATATACAAATAAAAATATAAATTTTAATAAAATAAAAATTTAAAAGAAATAATAAAATATTTTTTTTTTATTTTTTTTATAACCAAAAACAATACTAAAGTAAAATTGCAAAGAAAAGAATATTATTACCTCATTCAATCCCCAATTTGATTCGTTAATCTCGGATTTCGTTCCAAAATCGTTTCATTTCTATTTGCACTAATGCACCGTAATAATTTTCATTATTTTATTTTTATAATTTAATTATTTTATTAATTATTTTATTTTTAATAATAATTTGCAATTTTATTATTGAAAAAGAAAAATAGACGAATATAAATGGATCACTTGAAATAATCACGAAAAGGCTGTAAACGTTTGCTTCATAAAAACCTTGCAAATTTAGGATTTGCCATATTCGATCGCCGTTTCGACGCGAAAGACCTATCCGAAAGATTTTTGATAAGAAGAAATCGACGTTCTTTGTTGAGATAATAATAATTTTCCCACTTTCACATTGAGTTGAAACGGGTTTTAATCTTATAATTTATAAAGTAATAGAAATATAATTAGAAATAAGAATTTATCAGAATATATTATCAGTAGCGATCTAAAATTTATCAGTGGCGATCCAAGGATAGTATTTTTAAATTTAAATATATAAAATATAAAAAATGATGTAAAATATTAAATGTAAAATTTAAAAATATTGCTGCAATACATCAAGCAAAACCAAGCCACATTGATAACTAAAGTGATCTTAATACTCATATAACTGTCCTGATCTATCACCTCAGTGGCATGGCCTACCGCTTTTTATCACATATCATCGTCCTGATCAACCACCTCGGTGGCATGGCCTACAGCTTTTTATCACGTATAATTGTTCTGATCTACCGTTTTTTTCTCTTCTAAAGCTTGATCTGCCGCTTTCATGTGTCTCTGAGACCTCTGAAGCCTGGTTCTGAAGACCGTATTATAATGCGTGGTCCACTGCAATAAAGCCGGAAAGAAGAATTTCATTTGAACAACAACTGTTGACATAGTATAAAATGAAAATGATCACCTTTTCCTTCATGATTTCTTATATGCAGTGGTTCAAAGACGCTTATGTCCTGTCATCTGACTAGCAAAACGAAGTTTGGTTCCTGGCCATTACCTACCTTTCCCATTAGGAGATTCTTAGGCAAAACCTTAAAGCTGACTTTTCTATCCCCATTCTCCTAGACCTCTGGCAATTTTGAGAATATTTTATTTTATTATAATTTGGAAATATAATTTGAAATGAAATAGCTCACAGCACTGCCAATTTGGACCATTTTTACTTCTCCGTCAGAAGGCCACCTGGGACAAAACTTTGACTTGCTTCCCTTGCCAATACGAAAAATCTCCGCCAGAAGGCCACCTGGGATAAAACTTTGACTTGTCCACCTTGCCAACACGAAAATCCATATTAATGTTAGCTATGTTCTCTGTTCGCCTCGTTAATAGAGCGATTTGGAAATGTTGTTGCTAGACACGCCCACATTTATCGAATGAATTTATAACTGTACGCATATCGCAAAACTTTTATTGATGTTCATGTTCGCGCTTCTCTGAGAATGTCTCCATCGATTGCAACGTTATTTGGGTATTGGTTATGGAAAGTGGAGAGTGACTGGAGGTGTGAAGGGAGAGGGATGCGAGCGGGTGTGTCTCATCGCTTAGAAAATGAAAATGGTAGTTTTGTTGTACTCCTGTTGTCATGTACTAGTCTGATGGTACTTGGTTTGGCGGTTGCTAATTTTCGGTTAGATAATCGTCTATTGTCTATGCGATCTGTTTAATTTATATTGTTAAGTTAATTTATATATAGTATAATTTTAAACAATATTCTTTTCTGTTAATTTCCTCGTATATCTTTATTTCATTCATTTAATTTTGTCATTAAAATGCTATTCGTAAATTGCATTTTTATGTTTTTTGAATAGAATGATTGAAAAGTTGAAAAAGGTTCTATTTCCGAGCGGCGATGATGAGATATTATTCCCATAGGTGTAAATTTGTCTTTCAAAAAATCCAGACAGCGCTTGCGGTATGTGGTGCTTCCAGCAAACAGTTTATCGAGTTTGAAGAACCAGCTCGAGCGAATCTAACCGGAGATGATGAAGGCTCTTCAAAATGAAAAAATTATCTAAATAGTTTTAAATCTAAATTTATCTTAATAGTTTTATTGGACATTCTAATTTGATCTCCCAGTTTTGCTACTGTTGATATTATTGCTGCTATAATTCCTTTAATTTATTAAATCTTTTTGTGTAAAATGCATTATTATGGATAGTGCAGTTGAGCGTTTAATCATTGAAATAAATTTCGGCTGCCATAGGAAAAAATTTCCTGGCTTTTTCAATAAGTGCGCATAAACTTTTCATTTGATTATTTTAGATTTTATATGAATCCAGAAACAAATTACGTTCGTCTTCGTGGCTTACCTTTTGCAGCAAAAGAAGCTGATGTGCGTAATTTCCTTCAGGGTTGGTAATATTGTTTCATTCTTTAAAATTTTGAAGGAGAAGATTAAAAGAAAGAGAAGAGAAAATTTCTTCACTTTTTCCATCGGTTCGGAATAATATGCTATTTATTTTAATTTTAAACCAGTGGAATGATTTGATATTAGCGTAATTTGATTTGATCATAAACTTTCCAGGTATTCTATTCTCACGAATAAATATTAGTATTAGCCATTGTTAGAAAGGTTTGTTTCCAAATTTCATTGTGTAGACGGGTATATTGCTGGGCCGTTTATGTCTATTGATAATGTCTATTGACAATGATGGAGATAATTTCCTTTATTTCTCATTGGCCATATTGTGCAGTAAGATTGTACTGCAGCTGGATTAATGCGAGGCGATGGGAAGGATCACCTCTTCCTGAAGATATAGGAAATAATATTTTATATCGTTTATTAATGGATTCGAATTGCTGAAATGTTTTATTGGATTTTATAATCGGGCACTGGTTTGAACCAATTTTCGCTATTGTCATCGACAATCAGCTTAGGGCCTTTTGTAATTCCTTATAATAATTCCTTATAAATGATGACGAGAAGGACGTGAATTTATGAATAAAGATCTATGATAAATACTATAATAAATACTATGTTGAAGACTGATTTCTACTCCTCTTACTGGCACGGTGAAAATAGTCCATCTTATGATTGGAAATTACACGTTCCATACATGCGCCATAATTTCAATGTTTTAATAAGTCTTCTCTAGAATATCGTCGTTTTGTATGATGTTTTAGAGCTCCGATACCGATACGCTACCGATACGATCAATATAAAAGCACCAAAGCTGAAACATATAATAACAGTAGATTAGCGATACTTGAAGTGGTATTCCCGCAACCATCCATCTCAGCGTGATTAAATTACAGAGTGATGTTTTTGTTTAAATCGGGCTTAGTTAGGGCATATCCTGCTTTCCCTTTGAAACAGCGGAAGGAAGAAGAAATTTTCTCAGAAATCTCGCAGATAGCAAGCTCATTCCTTGATAGTTGTTGTAGTGCCATCTACCATTTCTTGAAAATTAATTCTAATATTGATTGAATGGTAAATTTTTGTTCAAATTATCTTTGTTCAAATACAGTGTTGAATATAGGCTAAAGTCCATTCCCCTGATCAAGGCGAAGAAGATACTCCGCATCGATGCATCAAGCCTGAAGGCCAAATTTAACTTTCACAAATTGTGTGATAATTGTGTGTTATAAAAATTATTTCTAGACATAGAATAACCGGTCATTAATGGGATTAATGGGATTCCATTAAGGTAGGGTTATTTCATCTTTGGACATGGTTGCGACTCTATTCTCTGAATTATCCGATACAATGCAGGTGATAGTTCTGAACCAGATATAATTGTTGCCGCCTTGAACCCGGAATTATAAGGGTTTCCAAGAGAGTTGATATTTTGGTAAATTATGCACATTACGTATTACTTTTTATGTAAGGTTTTAATTTTCCACTAATCTCGAAACGCGTCCACTAAAATTATTTTGAAAAAAAGTTTACTGGTGCGTCTTTGCTCTTTAAAGGTGTTTCTAATTCATTGGAAAATTTTAATCCATCGGGAATTCCATGAAAGGTTTATAAATTCAGCAATGAAGCAGTAGTTTTTTTCTTAATAATATGCTTCATTCATTTAATGAATGGAGTTTTATTGTTAAAGCATTGAAATAAATTAAGTTGATTAAGTGAATAATTAATTTGCGAATAATTAATGGATTTACCTCAAGTTGAAATTGAAAATTTTTGGGAAACAATAAATTTTCAGGTATTTCTGCTAAATCTGTTACATTCACTTTAACTGCTAATGGACGGGCGAGTGGGGAATGTTATGTTGAGTTAGCTGATGTGGCAGCAGCAAAAGAAGCTCGTAAATTTGATCGAAATGAAATTAGTGGGCGTTATATCGAAGGTGGGGTAGTATCCTTGTGAATAATTTTAGTGAAAAAAGCTTATGCGAAACGAATTTTAGTGAAACGAATTTTTATTAATTATATTTTTTAGTGTTTCCTGTAACGGAAGGAGAATTGGCAATGATGGTTCGACATGGAGTTTTGCGAGGCACAGGCGATTCGGTAGATGGGCGTTATTCTAGCAATTATGTTGTTCGTTTAAGGGGTCTGCCATATAGTGCAACTGTTGACGATATAAAAGATTTTTTCTCAGGTTTGCTTAATTAAGCTTTTGCCGGAACGAAAATATCAGTTTCGAGAAAACTACGATTATTGACGTTTATTTATTGATATTGGTATAAGTATGATAGAAGAGTAGATATTGTGATGAAATTTATTTTTGGATGTAGTTAAAAATTGCAAAAGTTTAATATTTAAGTAAGTAGCCACTTTAGTAACTAAGAAAATGATTATTTATTTGTAGTTTCATTCACTTTTGGGAAATTTCATATATTTCTGACGATTCTGATTATATGTTATAAATTCACATAACTATAAAAAAAAGTGAAATTTTTTGGGTGGTTGTATTTCGAAATTATGAGTTTCTCAAATTTTTATTAGGCAATAATTCAGATTTAATTAACAACTAGTTAAATAAATTGTTTAATGATACGGCCTCAGCCATCGTATGTATTGGAGGTATTTATCCCGTGCATAGAGCGGTGGTGTAGATGGTAATATTTAATAAATGGGTTGGATATAGGACTGGATGTAGCGGACGTTGTCATCGACAAGGAGCAGGGGGGTCGGCCTTCCGGGGAGGCTTTCGTTCGTTTGGCAAGCAAGCAGCACGCAGAAATGGCTCTCGAAAGGAGCAAAAACTACATGGGTTCGAGGTATGGGTTTTGAGGGAATTTCATAAGTGGAGTTTTAAAAATTTGATAAGAATTTTTTGATATTGAGATTTAAGATATATGGGCGGGTGTCCAACTGTTATCTGCTTTTACCATAAATGGAAATTCTGATTTCGCAAGTGACGGCAATCGTTTTTTGAATTTTTTAATTTTTATTCTCCGAGGATTCCTTATGAAACTGCATGTTTTATGCCTTCAGTTGGACACCTCTTATATAGGTTGCATTAAGCTATCTAAATAAGCACCTATGTATTAAGTGTGCTCGAAGTCTTAATGTTATCAAATTTTGTTTTTCGCTTTATTTGCTATTATTTGGAATTAGAACAAAAAAAAAGTACTTCATTTTTATTTCGAATTTGTGTGATTTGGTGGTTTTATATATTTGACTCTATACAAATATCAAATGTTCAGAGTATGTCATTTTTTCGATTTTTTTTCAGGGTCTTTAATGTTTTTATGAATTTTAGATCATTTATAATTTGTTAAAACTTCCCAGATTTCAGATATGTTGAGGTCTTCCGCAGTTCTGCTGAAGAAATGGAAAATAGCCATTATGCAGCACGTGGAATTCCACCACCAACAGGCGGTCCTATTCCACTTCGTGGTTTAAGTCCACCGTTGGATTATCGTTATTCGTTCAGAGAACGTTACGGGTATTTCCTTGAAATTGTTTTCGTTTAACAATAACAATTTAACATAAATAGAAAATAACGATAATCGTGCTGTAACTCATCAGTTTAATAGGAACTCCACCTTTATTAGATGAAATATCCTTGTATTCATTGTGAAAAATGTTCTAGTTATGTTGGCGGATATGGCGGTGGTGGAGGATATGGTCCTATGCGTGCTTTCGGTAATCGTTCTCGGCCTTCGCCTTATGATCGGCCGTTTGAGAGAGATAGATATCCAAGACCTCGCTACGATGAACTTGATGAATTTGCTTATGACGCACCTTTAAAAGTCTTTATGCGAGGTATATAATATTGTTTCCTTTTTTTGCAAGTACTTACAGTGTCGCTTATTTTTCCCAATTAAAATTTCAGGATTGCCGTACAATGTATCAGCGATGGATATTGAGGAATTTTTTAAGCCGTTACATTGTGTTGAAATAAAGCTGGGCTATAATGATGAGCGTCGACTGTCTGGTGACGGCCTAGTTACTTTTGCGTCAGCTGCAGAAGCAAGGGATGCATTGTCACGTAACAAAAGAAATATTGGAACCAGGTTATTTAAATTAAATTGTACATTTATGTTTTGTAAAATTGTTCATGTTACCAAGCAAGTGACTGTAAATGGCGTATTAAAAATTAGTGGTAATTATAATATTTAAGATATATTTTATATTTTTGAAGTGTTTCAAAATCGTTAACTTGCTTATAAATTATTTTATTAACTATTAAATTTATTAATTACTAAATTTTGAATTAGTTATAGATTATAAATTATTTTTAGGTACATTGAGTTATTCCCAGGTACTAGCATTCCGTATCCCTTGAAGTGCACAGCATTTCGTACAATTGGAGGTATTGGTCCCCGTGGCCCACCTCCACGAAATTACAGCTCTTTTGCTGAAGGTAAGGTTTTTTCTTTGTTTATGTTGTTCATTATTCAGTGAAAGGTTCTGAATAGTCCTTAATTTTCAATGTTTAGATGATGAATTTGGTTACGGTGGCTATGGTGGAAGTGCTGGCAATGGCAGTGGTCAACAGGTTACTGTACTTTTGTTCTTAATCATTCTATAAAAAAATATTTGAAAACATTTTCAGTATTTGAAAGCTATGAACGATATTGAAATTAATTAATTTTAAATATGATGAATTCCAGTATTACAACGATCAATACGAGGGTCGTCAGTCGAAATATAGTCGTGAATGGGGTGAACCTCCAACTAGAGCAGCATGGTGATCTCGAAATTGATAAATTCTTTTTGTACAAGCATTTGTTTCTTATTTATAGTATCATTCTTAGATACAGAAGTTCGAGTGGGGGAAAGTTGGTATAGAAGAGAGATGAAAGGAGAGAGAATGAGGGGAGAGGATCTTACCTTATCTGAAATTCGCATTAAATTCTTTAAACCAAAGTTGATATATGATTTCATTATTTCTCTTATTGTTCGATTTGTTCTTTAGTTATAAAGTTGAAAAATCCGGCATTCTTGCGTTCTTCGGTTTATTAATTCTTACAAAAAATAAATGATATGTTATCGTTTCAGGTTTAGTTGAAAAAACGTCAGAGAATGGTTTATTTTTTTCTTAAGCTTTTGTCGCTTATTATTTCTTTATTGGGTTATTTTTTTGAAGATATCTCTTAAAATTAATTGATTATCCGTTCATTTATTATTCAAGTTAAAAAAAATAAAGAAAATCTGATGAGTATTAGCTTCTTTACTTTTTTGTTGTTATTTTGTCGAAAATTTGGTGCCAATTATTCATCCAGTAAATTAATAAAAGATTAAAGTTTTTTTCTGCGTCTTTGTATCTCTTGGAATTACTGCCTAACGAATGTGTATAGTAATGATGGTTTTAATTGAATATATGGTTAGGATTTTCGGGGATCATCCTCTAATAAAAGTTTTGCATTGTGCTTGAAACTGCAGAACGAGGTTATATGATGAGAATGAGCAGTAATTTTATTCGGCAAAATTATTTTAATTTGCAGGAAGAATATTCTATTTCTCGTTGATGCTGAGAAAACTTATTTTGAAGTTAAAGGAGATTATGCAGATGGAGAAAATACCGGGTGAATTCATTTTTTTTTTGTATTTTAGTTGTTGTGGATCCAATTTTTATTAGTCTTTCCAGCTCGGTGTTTTCACGTAGGTACTGGTTGCATTAATAACAACAATGTTTGAGATGTTTCAAAGTTTCTTGGTATAACGCCATTGCTGGTAGCTATGGAACCACTGCTTTCCATCGTTTAAGCCCACATGTCTTCTTTTTTCGATGCTTGCTTGGCTGCATCAATCCCCAGTTTGAGCTTTAGAATCGCATGCCGAGCATCTCGCAATCTATTGCGAAAGGTATGGCTTAACCAACGTAAGGCGCTTCACGTTGGTGTTATTGTACTGGGTAGTATTCAGGACTACATTACATTCGGTGGATAAATGGAATATATCTTAGTTATGTTAATAGTTATGGTTAGAGATAAATAGATTTTCGAAAAAATAGTTTCTCACTGGCGTTCCGCTTCTGTATGATAGAATTTTGCGCGTTGAAATCATAAGGATGTGAAATTTAGTTTTGCTGATAATTTTGCTGATAATTTCACAGCGATCATATAAAGATTTCGCCAGATGCAAAAAAGATAGAGCCACAATTTCGAGCCACAAAAGTCAGTCATATAATAATGCTATATATGACTTCAATCGCCAGTATTGTATATTTCCATTATTCAGAAGTTTAAAGGTTAAGACTGGAGGTGGTTGATTTCTACGATGAAATCTTCAAATGTTTCCCACCTTCGCTTTTCAACTTTATGCTGGTGAAAACCGTAAAATGATGATATTATTCGTGGAGATCGACAGTTTGTCATGATAAGACGTCTAAATAGGGTGGAAAACAGGTTCGACTGACTGTTTGACTGCAGATAATTTTTTCCGGAGATTCGTGCACATTAAGGCATAATTAGTTTTATTAGATAATTATATATATCTTGAAATTAAAATTGTAGAAAATTTATGAATCAGAAAGCAGATCGGAATAATGATTACTGATAATTTAAACAGATAAATTTTTCTGAGGCGACATATTTTTTAAGAATATTCACAATTACTATTTAGACTCGCTTCGCTGGTTTGTTGCACTGGAAAAATCTTTTGACAGGAGAGTCTGTTGACGATAGAAATACGGCTTAGTCGGCATCATCTGGATGGACAAGCTTACTCTTGCCTTGAATAGAATTTCGATATCGGCACTCCGAATTGAGTAATCCATTGAGCTATACTAATCTCCTTTGTTTTTCTCTCTTAGGTGACAGTGGCGCGTAACAAAGAATGGTGCATCGGTAATTCTCAGCAATTATCTTGGCATATAAAAATGTGCCTATAATATAGGATAAACCAAATGATATATTTTTTATCCAAACTTTTTTGTATCTGTAATCGGCTCTATTTTATTGTTTCTGAAAATTTTTTTTTTTATCGTAGGAATTAAACGTATTCAAAAATAATGCGTGAATAATCGACGGGTTTTTTAGGGTTAAATTCAAATATTTTTTTGAATTAATTAATTTGTCATTCTTTTATATTATTCTTTTATATTATTAGTATAGTTAGCCGATATTTAATCTAAAATTTAATTATCATTTCGCTAAAAATTAAAAGTTTGCAGTTGAGTTATTTCAGAGAAACCAATATCGAAGAAAAGCGCAAAACGAATTCGTTATGCCATTCTTCTCGCTTATCGTGGTCAGAATTATTTCGGTATGCAGGTATATTCTTTTCTTCTAATTACGTTTCTCTATCGTTTATTCATTATTTTTCGTCTGATTTTAGCTTCAAAAAGAATATCCAACTGTGGAAGGTTGCTTGCTAAAAGCTTTGCTCGAAAATAATTTTATTTCTAAGGAGGAATATAAGGATCCATTTCTTTGCTATTTCCAGCGTGCATCAAGAACTGATCGTTCAGTATCCGCTGTTCGTCAGGTATCATTTTTCATATCCAGAAAACAGATTTGGCTGGTGATAGAAAAATTTTCAATTTTATTTTAATTCACCTTATTTTACTATTTTTGAAACAAATATGGAGATTCCATTTGGCTTTATCAAGTTGACTTCAGCGATATCATTTTCGATATATGATAAATGCTAATATGTGATAAAATTTCCAGTTTTAATAAAATGTGGTATTAAACTGGAAAAGTAATTTAATAAATTGGAAATTTTCATATTCACAAATTATAGATGTGAAAGCGTTATCGCGCTATTATCAAAAATTACTATAAAAATCATCAAATTTCTAATAAAAATCCCATTTCGTTAAAAAATTGGTTATAAAATTTGTTTTTTAGTTTAAAGAAGAAATTACTTATTTTAATTGATATTATCGATAATTTTTTTTATTTCTCCTTTACTTGAGTCTATTTTAATGCTTACACTTTTTACATATTCACAAAACTTTTTTAGGTTTGTACCATAAAAATGCCAAAAAATAACAATTTTATTACAAATGGCAGTGATATTCTCAATATGAAATTACCTTTAGATATTCGAATTTTTGGCATAAGGTAAACTTAGTCTAGAAATATTTGCTGAATATAAAAACGCATTTAAATTATTTTGAATTTTTAATTAACTTTTAAATAATCGCGTAATTCATCAAATAAGCGTGAATTTCGCAATGAGTATTGAGTTTTAATCTAATAGAGATTAAAAAATGATTTTACATATATAAATTACAAATTTTTAAAACTTTTAGATTTTTTAAAATTTGGTTTTATTTTTGGCTTTTTATTATTTGTTTCCTATAAAGTTTTGTAAACTTAACTTATTTTTTATTTCGACCACTTTTATATTTATAATTTATCAAATTTCAGACGAACGACACCATCTTTTCATCCTCAGAAAAGTTGTTTTGCACGAACATATTCATATACTTTACCTACTTTTGCTTTCGCTAAAAGTAATGAGGTAAATATTTTTTGCTTTCCACCACTTTTATATAGTAAACTATTTTCATAAATTTATTACCGTTGGTGGAACTTCTTCTTATAGCTCTCACCATTACTGGTTAGGCTCCAGCGGCTACAAGAGTAAGGCGCTTCCAAGCGGTGCGATATACTTGCTATCGTCGATAGTAATAGAAGCCATTCTTTTTTCCATCGTCTAAGTCCATATATTGCTGATTCACCTCTACGTTCAAAATCTTTTCTGACCGTATCAGTCCAGGTTTTGATTGGTCCACCTCGCTTTTGACACCAACCATCACACGCTTTAGCAAATAACGAAATATGCGTCATCTCCTGTGGTGGACGACAGAGAACGTATCCCAACGTATCCAGCGAAGGCGCTCTGTAATAATAACATTATTTTTGCAAGTGAACAAAGATGGATGCGATCATGTAATATCTTATCCGCTCGATGGACCCGTACCTTAGACAAGAATCCTCAAAGGGATAACTTTTTAATATGTAACAAAATCGAACGAATCACGGTTATATAGGTACGGACTTTCGTTTTCATGGTAGTTTAACGCGGCTCCATAAAGGTTTCGTCAACCGAATGAATACATTTCTAACTCCCGTAATCGGGTTGTAATATCATTTTTTGCCTGTACATTTGGTATTAGAGTGGACCCAAGGTATTTGAAATCAGGCAATGAATTTACAAAAAGAGGCATTTTATCAGCTTCTTGCACATAAGACGGACCTCGAATAAGCTGATGATGTAGTCCTTTTTGCTGATAGTTATGGCGAAATACAAATAATGTTAAACAGTGTGTCAAAGATTGCAGCGAGAATTAGACTCAAAATCAATGTAAATAAAATTGTTTTAAAAATAAATTGTTTTCGTCTTACATACGAGATAATACAAGATAAAATTGATAAAATATTTATTTTTATCAATTCATTACTGGTTGCTTGATTTTAAATGCCTTGGGTCCACTTTTAATCCCAAATGACTAGGCAAAGAATGAAATTGCAACCCGGATAACGATATCTAGAAATTTTTTTCCGGTTGATGAAAGACCAATTATTCTGGCTTGTGAGCATATTTTATTTAGCAGCCCTGGGATTGATTTAAGCCTGGATTGTATACTTATCGCATGTACCACTGGACTGGAATATCATGCGCGTCGGACGCCGTATCAAGTATATCTGACTCTTTCGCCATAGAGTCACCTGGGGATAGAGCTACAGGTGGGTCTCTGGCAACCACCCTGATTTTTGATATGACAGGTTTACTTCTGTCAAAGACATATAATTATTTTATATTATTTTATAATATTATGGACTTCATATATATATACATACATTTATTTCAATTCTTTTTTTTTTATTTTAGGTAAAGGAGAAAAGGGGAAAGAAAACAAAAAATAAAAAAAAGGCTTAGCTCGAAATTTGCAGTTTATAGAAGGTTCTAGAAAATATTTCAAAAAAAATAACTGCAGCGGAATAATAATGCAGCCGCTTAAAATCAAATCATAATCATAATCATAAATGAGACTTCAAATATTTGGGTTTCACCACCAAACGGCCAGACGAAGTAAATTTCAGTCTTCTAACTCAGATAGCAAATTTGTTGCGAAACTTTTTTCAAATCGTCCCGAAATTAACATCAGAACAAAAATTCGCATTCTGCACAATTAACATAAGAACAATTTTGAAGTTGTAAATCAGGCAGAAATTTGAGCCAGAAATTTATCTTATTTTAAAAAATTTTAAAGGAACAGTGAAGAATCGATTAGTGAAGATTTAGTTGATAAAGCAATTTCATATCATTACAGCGAGTTTATTTCAGAAGAATTGGTTAATAAGGTATATTTCATCACCTAAAAGAGATAGCGAATGAACAACTGGTTTCAAATAAATAAAGGCACCAATGAAAAAAAGCTGGGCCAGCACAAGCGAATTAGAAGCCTAGTAATGCTGTCTCAAAAAGTCCGTCATGTGGACTGAATAGAGGTAGAAAATCTTAAGTGCCAATCCCAAAAGTTAATGTAAATAGAATATGTTATTTATATTGGCCAGGCATATAGAATCTCGCTTTACTGGACTTTCAAATATCATCTATATTCATGTATTGTTATTTATGTATTGAATATTATGTATTGGTTATATCGCCATTGTCTGCTTTGGATAGATGATTTTGGTCCCTCTCTCTCTCTACATCCTGAATTGATGCATATCTTGCTAGTCGCTTTCAGTCAGAAAGGAAGTTAATTCAGTCAGGAAAGATTCTGAATATGTATGGTAAATGGTGCATATTCGGTGCATCGATATATGGATGGAAAAAACGCTTTTTTACTTTTGGAAATGGCATTGGATCGAGAGGCTTGTAAATCCTTCACCAGCCAAACTAATAATTATTATGAATACATTAAGCTGATTAAGTAAATAATAATAAACGTTATTTTAGATCTCTTTCAACTGATCTTTAAAATTTTGATCTTTTTTAACTATTGCTTTTTTTAGTTAACGTCGGCTGCCTTCAGGATAACTGATGAAACAATCAATGAAATCAGTTCGGTGTTGCAGATATTCGTAGGAACGCATAATTTCTTCAATTATACATCTAAAAAGTAAATTTTTATTGTTAATTAATTTTGATGGGAACAAATGAAGTGAGGTGATATATTTTACGGTGATATAAGCAACTTAGGTTTGATCCCTATCCCTCGATTCGATTCAGTTATGTCTAGAAGTTAAATTCGGGTGCTGGAGGACCAATCTGTACAACTTTTGTTCTCAAATAAAGTTCTGACGAAATAACGTTATTTTAATTATCGCTAGAATGAATTAAACCAGAAATAATGAATATTTTTAGCAGTTCTTTCCCATTTTATTTTAATTTTATTTAAGGAATGCCATCTTTTATTTTTTCGAAATTTGAAATTAATTATGCTATCATCTTTTTTTCCTTTATTAATGAACGTGGCAACGTTATGTTGCGGCCTATGTCAAATTTTTCATATATTTCTTTATTTTAGGCAATACGATGAAAAGAGTTGTTGTAGATTTATACATAGTTTTAAGTGTGGACCAAAGCGGCTTTTCAGAGATGAAATTCGCAATGAGGATGTTGAATTTATTACGATCTTTATAAAAGGACAAAGTTTTATGCTGCATCAAATACGTAAAATGATTGGTAAATTTTTTTTTGTTGTAAAAAAATTCACAAAATAGGAAGTTTGATGAAAATTTAAAATGGAAGAGAAAAACTATGGCGCAAATTCTTTAGGAATTTCAAAAATAATAACTACACAGAATGATAGATAATAACAGCAATAACAGTGATAACGAAAAATAAAAAAAAAATAATTTTTATTATTTATAAAACATTGTTATTTAAAAGTTATTAGATCAATTTCTTTTGTTATTTTTTATGTAAGGATTTAATTCATTTAGAAAATTAAATTATATTTTCTATGTCATATAATTAAATTAAATTATATAAAAATTAAATTAAATTAAAAAATTCATTTAGAAAATTAAATTATATTTTCTATGTTATATAATTAAATTAAATTATATAAAAATTAAATTAAATTAAAAAAATTATATTTTTATATTTTTTTGAAATAAAAGGACAGTAAAATTGATAATATTTAAAGGAAAAACTGTAAGAGACATCAATTTGATTGGAAACATTTTTGGTATTTATATTTTGTTTCTATCCTTAATATATTGTTTAGGTATGGTAATAGCTGTTTGTCGTGGGTTTGCTTATAAGAGTGATATACAAAAATCATTCGAAAATGCTCGTGTACGTCAGTTTTCTTTTTTATTATTTAAATTTTTGTGCCTGAAATTAATATTAAAATGTTCCTTTTTTATAATTTCATTATTATATTCGTTTTTGAATTGGACGTACTAGAAATTGGAAACCTTATCTGCTTTTATCCTTTAGCTATTTGACTGGTTATATTTATTTTTCGCATTATATTAGCATTTTGGTTTATTGCAATTAAAAAAGCCTTAAATGCCTTTTAGAATATTAATTAAAAAAGTAGGATATTGTATAGAACTTTATTCACCAATTTATAATATATGCAACGATTTATATAGATAAATTATGCGTAAACTTGAAATTAAAATTTTTTCATCATTTTACCATCTAATTCGATTATTATGAAAATCGTTTCTTTGATTGAATAATCTATAAATATTTTTATAGTTGGATCTGCCGAAAGCACCTGGTCTTGGTTTAGTTTTAGAGAGGTTGCATTATGATTATTATGATAAAAAATTCGCGAATCTGCATGGTTCATTGAGTTACTGGGGCGATACTATCGAAAATGCAGTTGAAGACATGAGAGAGTGCATTATTAGCGATATTTTGAAAAAAGAAGTTACAACATACAAGTAAAATTTATTTTCATACCTTTTAAAGTGAATGATTTCTAGAAATGATCATTATTTGAAGTTAATTTCAATCGTTTTCATATATTTTAAATATTAGAAGCCGAACCAATTTGTTTTCCCTCTAAATTTTCTTTTCAGTATGTTATCATGGATTTCATCATTGATAAATCATGATTTTTCTGAAAATGACGACTCGGCAATTCCTCCGCTGGCAATTGCGGGAGGCATCGCTCTTGGCAAGATAACTGTGGGTGATCAACAAGAATCTGTTAGTAATAATTTGGAATTTTTAAATTTTTTCCTTAAAAATTTAATAAATAATATAAATATATAACTTCATAAGCATCTTTACGGAAATAAATATGAATAAAAAAATTATGAAAATTTAAAGAAAAACAATTTGTCAGTCTAAGCAACAATAATTCTCAAGTCCGTGGTAAATTTTCTCATAATTTTAGATCGTCGAAGATGATGCCATATCTATGAAAAATTGCAGTACGGTAGGCCAAAATGCAAACAAATCTTTAGAAAATGGTGAAAATATATGCATTAATGATGTTAATAATCGTTGAACGTTAATATATTTTTTGAAGTTATAACTCTACAACTGTTTTTAAGTTTATAAGTTTATATATAAATTTATCCTTCGTCAAAATCTATCATATTCTGTTAACTTTATATCGAACCTGATTCTGCCATCTGTTATTTCCTGTTGTTCTTTCTAAACACTTTCGCACTATATTACTTATCCACATTATTACTCATCCACCTCGCTCATTAATAGTTCCACCTTTTACAGTTTCTAAATTTCTCCGAAAGTCCAAAACTCGATGAAACGTTAAGCAAAGTAATGTTAATAACTTGAGAAAGTTTGGTAGAGAGAGAGAAAGGAAAGCAGTATAAAGAAGTTTAAAATGCTAACACCAATAGATTTTGGCATTAAAAAAGTCGTTTGGTTGAATTTGAGGCCACACAATAGGAGAGGTATTAAGAGATTTCAGTATTTCGTAAATGGTATTGCGTATTTTTAGATAGAGTTAATTAGCGAACTTCGAGAAAGGGCGCAATGGTTTTTGGCAACATGTTGGAGTACCATAGGATTCACGAAATTAGTTTAGTACAAAACTTGTCATCTGCCAAGTTAATGCCAACAATTCCACAAGAAATTGAAAAAGAAACAAGGAAGGTTCTGGTTTGCGAGAAATTCGAATGTAGGCTCGTACAGTAACCAGTGGTCACCTGGAGTACCTAAGAAAAAAAGCTACGAGTTTGGTGCCACCTATTATAATTCAACATTAAGTCGCCCCAATGGAATATCGCACCGTAACGCCACAACACCCTGGTCGGCAGATTTTGCCGATTTATTTCTTTTTCTGTGCTTCTATTTTCCGTGCTTTTGGTTTTGGTATCAATGTTATTGACCGAATTTTCGTCCTATCGAGCTTTTCATTAGCTAATTTTAAATCCGAATCTGAATTTTGCTGAATTTTAAATTTCAGAGGGCGTGTGGTTCTTATATCACGAGATTTGTGCTCATAGTTATTTCAGGAGACGAGGGGACTTACGTGGGGTTTATTTATTTGTTGTTGAACCTGGTTGGGTACCCTTAGTGATTCCTTTCGAAATGGGTTGCTGTATTTTACTGACCTGTCTTGTTATTTTATTGTTGTTTAAATTTTGATAGATTTGATAGATTTGATAGACAGCACATATAAGTTATTTATAAATTTGAGTTGCTCTTATTTTTTATTTACAGACTGACAAGTACTGAAAAGTTCGAGTTCGAGTAAGTTCAGTTCATGTTGCTTATTTGCCGCTAAGAATCTTTACTGCTGGTATCGAACATTAATAAACATGGTGGATTTTAACTGCTCCTTTTCCTTTTTCTTATTGGGGCAGTTGGGGAGATAGAATGGCTCAGTTGCTCGGAGCGCCGATGCTAAAGCTTTATTCCTCGCAGTAATAAAACTGTCCCTGTTCGAAAATTCGATGCTGGCGACTCACCTGTCGCCAAGGGATTTACCGAGCACATCGCCCAATGCGACAAAGCAGTGGAGGGAGTTTAACCAATAATGGTGAGAAAAAATAATTAGGGCATTTATTATTCGTGCTGGTTTTTTTTTTTGTTTTGGTTATTATTAGTCCAGCAGAAGAAAATTTGAAACTGAGCACTTTCGTCTTGAAAAAACTCTAATTGATACACGAAATTTTTGTTTAACCTAGTCTGGTACCATTATTGACTTCTCTCGAGTTGTTTTACCATTTACCATTTACTTTATTTACGCGAGAAATCTCTTGTATATTCTCTTGTTTTTTTAAGATTAATTTCGTGAACTTCTCAATAAGGGAATATTTTTTTATATATTTTTTTTTAGAGAATTAAAAAATGGAATCAGAAGCAATAAATGCTGATGGCTTACTGCGTTCGAGAATCGAAACACGACGACGAACACAGTCATTCTCAGATGATTATTCTGTTCAGAAGACGAATGACGATGCAACCGAATGTAAATACGCAGCACAACAAGTTGTTTTACACTTTAGCACTTTGCTAGCTTGAAGTTTACAATTTTTCAGTGATACCTCAGTGATCTTTTCTTGTCACCGCTAGGATTTTTTGTTTTGCCTTTGTCGATTTTCTTCGAAGCACTGTTTTGGATTTAATTTACTCTCACTGGAATGGAACAGCGTTGGAAACTTTCACGGATTAGAAGGGTAGATATGCAAGTGAAAATTCTCCAGTTTATTGTAATATATTCTTTGACCACTCATGTCCAAATAAACATTTTATGGATCCGCCGAGCAGATAGAATCGCACATGATTATATTCACCTTAGCTCAAATACCACCTGCATTAATAAAATTATCACAGAGCGTCTCCTTCGCTGGTTCCAAAAGCGAGGAGGACCAAGTAAAACTTGGACTGATACATTCAAGAAAGATTTCGAACGTATAGAGGGACCAGCAATATATGGACTTGGACGATGGAAAAAGGAATGGTTTCTTTTATTACTAGCGATGGCTTTGGACCGAGCATCCTAGAGACATTTTATCCTTATAGCTAGCGGAGCCAGCTTAACCAGTAATGTTGAGAGCTGTTAGAAGAAGAAGAAGAAAATTCTCCACAATTATCTCACTTCTCTTAGAAAATAGAAATATAAAACTGGAACTTTTTTTTGTTGTTCTTAGCGCGACAATATAAGCAACATGTTAATAAAATATTTAAAAAGTTTTAGTAATTGGATATTAAAGAAATTTAGAATTTTTGTTTAGATGGGTTATTTTACCGATAATTTCGTGAGACGTTTTGTAATTGCGAAAGAAACTATTGGACATCGTGACCCAGAAATTCTACGTGGTTATTGGGCAAGAGTTGTTGCGATTAAATCTATTGTCGATACATTCTTAATGGTTCTAATTTTTTAGATCATTATTTTTTTAAAATTTTGAATTTTAGATTTTTGCAACCACTGAATTTATAATTTTTCGTTTGCAAACGATTTAAATAACTTATAATTGCCTATTCCTTTTCAAGGATAAAAATTTTCAGTGGAGAGGGTTGAGAAAGAATTCCGAACCACTAGTTTGTATAATTTCCGGATTTTTCCGAATTTTTTCTTTTTTTTGATTTGGTGTAAAATGTTCCATTCCATCCATCCTGTATTTTGAAATTTTCACAGTACAAAGCGTTTAAAGTGATTAGTAAGGATAAATATAATAAATTGAACAAGGACTGCTGTAAAATACATTTTTTTCCTTTTTACCAATTCTTTGCAATAATTTCAGCGTGTTGGTGTTTCTTGTCAAATAATAAATCTTGGTGCGGGTTTTGATACTCTTTATTGGCGGTTGAAAAGTGAGGGGAAGCAATTTAAAAAATTCGTCGATGTTGATTTCAGTTCTGTTACTTCGAAGAAAATTCGAATGATTATGAAACCTGGCGAACCAAATTTGTTGTCCTTCTTTTCAAAAAAACGTTAATTTTTTTTCTGAGTTTTATTTTATTTTGGGTTTCAGAGAGAAATATCATTAACCATCATATGACCAAATTTTCAGAAATTTGTTGGTCTATGTTCATTTCTCTTCATTTTTTAGTAATTTAAATTTTACTGCATTTTTAGTTTGATTTACTGCTAATCTTGAATCGTTTTTAGACTTTTTCAATTTATTTCATTTCTTACTTTATCTATTATCGTTTTGAAATTGTGTTTTGGCGTAAATGGGTGATTTTATTTTTGATTTTCATTATCATTCTAATTATTCAAAAAAAAATTTCAGCTGAAGAATCACATCATGAAGATTTGCATGCTGGAGATTATCAGCTACTTGGTGCAGATCTGAGACAGTCAAAAGAGCTTAAGGAAAAATTGGAATCGGCTGGTCTAGATTTTGATATCCCTACTATTTTTATAGCCGAATGTGTTCTTGTATATATGAGTGTCGATAAGAGTCGGGAATTGCTTTCTAATATTCCTAACTGGTTCAGAACTGCAGTATTCATTAATTACGAACAAGTTATCCTTTATAGTGATTGTTTCTATGAAAAATTTGATTAATTTGATAATTTTCTGAGCTATGGAAAGAGAAAAGAGATAGCTGTATTTGATGGCTGTTTTATTTTGTTAAAATAATCTTAAATTTCTGGCTTACATTTCATTTTTTGGAAAACTTTCGTAAATTTTATTTGATTAGATGAGCGCAAATAATAATATGTATTATTGGGCTATGCCAAAAGTAATTATAAGTTTATAAAGTGAGGAATTAAATTTTGAAATTCTGTTATAGGTTTGTATATCTGATTCCTTTGGTAGTATAATGCTTGCTAATTTATTACGACGAGGAATTGTGCTTCCAGGAATTCCTGATTGCGAAAATCTTGAAGCACAGTCACGACGGTGATCACTTGCTTTGAATTTTTTTATTTTTTCCTCGTTTTCTGTATAAATCGTTTATGTTGAAACATTTCGAAATTCCACTTCCATTTTTCATAGAGTTTTAGCTGAATTCAGATTTCCAAAGATGGATTTCCTTCTTTTATTATTTCTTTAATTTTTTTATTTTATTTCTATTTTATTTCTATTTATCATTAATATCTTACAGTTTTTTGGAGACTGGCTGGCAGTATGCTATTGCTGCAAAGATGGATGATATATATAAGAAATATCTGCCGGAGGATGAGGTGCATAAGTATGTTTTTTCAAATTGTTTTTATTGCAGTTATTTTGTGGCAAAAGGAAAAGTGGTAGAACATATATCTTCTTTTTTGCTCGTGTTAATTCGTGAGTTCATCAAACCAGTCACCAATGCGAATAACATAGATTGTATTATAGATTAACATAGATTATATTGTATCATAGATTATATTAACTGACAGTAACAAAATGTTTCATGAATAATATTTATATTTTCATGGATACGTTCCGTGCACTAAATTTTTATTCAATGTTAGGAGTACTGGCATGGTTCCGTTGTGTTTTCTACCTCTCATCGATGTAACCAATATATCTCACACAGATTTTGCTGTATTTTCATAGACTAAACAGTTCTGTGGTGAACTGATATTCCGTAGATTATTCATGAATATACAGCAATTTCCATTACAAAAATTAAAATTAAGATCAAGATAAATTCTTTGCGAATCAAATTCAAGTTACTTAATGAACTGTAAAAATTATTGAGAAGTTTGACACACTAGGTGGTTTGGTCAAAAAAATGTGATTAAAATTTAAAATTTTAAAGAAGTGATTAATTACTATATATTTGAGATGAGAAAGATCAATAACTGGGTTTTCGGCGTTTTATCTCAATCACCCTTAGAACTTCTGTTATTTCTAAAGAATTTGATTTGAGAATTTCAGCTATCTCCAGCTGTGTTCTATAACCAATAAATGCATATTACTTAGGATTTTCAATAGAAAATAGGCATAATTGAGGAAGTTTTTTTTTAAATGAATATATATTGCAAAAAAAGTAAAGATAATATTCACAATATGATAAACTATGAATACTTGGCTCAGTGACTTAGGTAATTTTATGGCTCATGGCAGATGATTTCTTTTTTTGTATAGAACATTGTGAATAAACTTATAATCTATCCACGATCTTTTTATTTTTGCAAGCTAATAAAAATTTCCTTTTAGAATCGAGAAAATCGGCATTTTAGATGAACCGGAATTACTCTTTCAACTTTTGGAGCACTACTGTATAGTAATTTCTGTGAAATCAGCACCAGAATTCAATGATTTAAAAGAAATATTAAAATTGAATCGTCGCTAATAAACTTCGCCTATAGAGCAGAATGATTTGACCAAATCTGTTTCATTAGCTGAAGAACTGATAATTTGATAAAGTTCAGATTATCAGTGAATCGCTGTTAGCGTTTTCCCACTATTAAATAAGAAATAGGAAGCCTATGGTTGTAATTATTTGAAAATTATTTATTCGCTTCCATAATTTTATTTTTTACATTGCAGTTGAGAATTTTGTACCATTTTCTCTTTCGATGCTTTTTTTACTTTTTTTTCCATAAATTTTTCTTTCGAGCTGGTTTATTGCTTTGTTCAAAAATATTGCTCAAAAATGTGACTTAGTTTTCATCAAAGTTATTTGTTTATTCTTCATGGAATGTTAATGCGAAAAGTTGTTTTGAAGAAAATTATATTATTATAATATTACATTAAAATTGGAAAGCAGTTTGGTGAAAAAAGCGGATGCAATTTAGAATTCTACATTAATTACGAAATAATGGTTTAAATTCTCTTTCACCAGTCTCATATTGGTTCACTCAATATAATTACAGCTTGCAGTATCTCCCATTGCAAAGTTCATTTAGATTATTTTTTTGGAACTTTTTAGATGTTTCAGTTTTTTAAAAAATTAGTTCAACTGGAAAAAATCGCAAAACAACAACAAATAATATAATTGTAAATTGAATAATTGTTTGCCAGTATTAAATAAAAAATTGACGTAAGGCCTGTGCCGTTACTGACTGATTGGATTAGCACAGCTGATGGTTGTCATGCCGTTAAAAAGTTTTCGTCGTTCAGTCAAATATGTGATAAAAATGAAAGTGGATCGCCGAGACGAGAAGAGTTTTTGGTGGGGTTTACTTCTGTCGGGGGCAGAACCCGAACGCTCGTACCACTCACTATCCATTCAACTGTTTTCTAATTCCCAGGATATTGCATATTACACCTATATGGGTTTCAGAATTAACTTATCGTAGTTCCCTTTTTAACGTAAAAAAGAAAAAAAACAAGTATTTTAAATAAAAGAATTATTAAAATATGAACGATACATCATTGAAAATTAGCTTCGAACGTGGGGCGTTTTCATGGATTCGAAAATTTTGCTCGTAATTAATTAATTTTAAATTTTTTAGGTTTCTTTAATTCTGGCATCGACTTCTCAAGAAATTTTCATGGAAGGCTAAAGAGCAAGCTCAAAATGGTTTTGCATAGCCCACTTCATGGATCTCAGTTCAGCAAGTTGGTCCATGAAAATTTGGGCATTTCGATTTCTAGCATTATGTCGTTCTCGAGCCTCATCAACCATTTTTCGAACCACAACACTCTTTATCTGTAAAAGATGTGAATGAGAATTGTGGTTTAGTTTAGTTTTTTTATTTTTCAGCGGAAGGAGGCAATATATAAAGTTTTCACGGAAACGTGAAACGTGAAATTTGTTCAATTTCATTAAAAATTCGATTTTAAACATATGGTTAAGGGTATTTTTTTGGGGCTTAAATTGAAACTTATAGTCGATTTGAAATCCTTAGACTTAGAATCCTAGCGCTTAGGTTGTTTGGAATTTGGGCAGAGTTAAAGATTCAGAATGTACAGCATAAAGGGGTTCAGAAGTTTCGAAAGTTTTTTTCAGGATTTAGACGCTAGGATTTGGGTTTAGGATTTTGTATTAAAATTAGAATTTAGTTTGAAGATTGGAGTATAAGGCTTACGATTTGCACAGGTGGTGGTTTATAATGTATATTAGGCAAATGGCAAGGATTTAAGCGATCGGAAATCCTTGCTTATAGCTTTACGAGTCAAAAATCAAGGTTTAAGGTTTGTGGCTTTGATGCCACAGTGCATTGATCATAGGCAGTGCCGAATATTTTTCAAGCTTATTAAAATCAAGTTGCATTTAAAGAACCTGAAGTTCTGTGATTTGCGCATCTAATTCAGCAAGAAAATCAAGTTCGTCCTTCTCGAAAGTAGTAACTTTTGGTGGAGGAGGCGCATGAAATTGGGGTTCTGTCTTGCAACAAGGAATATATGTGAAGCTGGATGATACGTTCGGATAATCATTTCCATATTGTCCTTTTCTAATAGGCGAATAAGCATATGGTTTAGCGTAAATTGGCGATGGTGAACGCGGAGAAGGTGAAGCACCTGATGATGAGGCTACGAATTCAGAATCCGAACTATAGTAGCGATCGTCATCAAGCATTATCGATAAACGATTAAATGACTGAAATCTTTTATACCAGTTAATTTAAGAAAGTAATCAGCATAAAATGATAATGCAAACGTTTTTGATAAGCATGGGGCTCAAATGAAATGGAAAGCCTTATCATCTGCTCTTCTGATGAATACCGAGGAGTTCACGCAGACCTCTACCGCTTTCAGTCAGTTTAAGGATGATGTACATATATATACATCCTAAACCTGTGGATCCAACCAAACTGCTTGTGTTAAAAATGCATGTGTAGAAATGCTACATGTGTTAAAAATGGTAAAAAAATCACATTGTATTTAACTGTTTTTTCTTGTTATATCCAATTACTTATTATTAAATTCCATATTTGGTTTGTGGTACCATAAAGAACCAATTGACTATGTTAAGAAAATATAAAAGATTCAATGAAATGGCATGGCATATTTTACAAAAGTGCCTGCCTGCCTTAAGTGATTCAACGATTTACCTCAAGTTCATGGTAAATATGAGCACTATCATCATCCATATACTTGTAAATCGGAGCATATCTGTCGGAATCTTCCTTATAGTTATCCAATCCTAACGCTTCATCTAGATCAACTGAACAGCAATCGATAGCTTTATTCTCAATTTGGCGACACTGGCGAATTTCTAGTGAAGATTGCATATTTGGCGAATTTAGTGATGAACCTGGGCTATAAACGGATAAATTAATAACAGTAAGGTAGAACTATGTTGATTATATGCATGAAACATGCAAAAATTAGTTAATAGCTAACCTTTTTAACGCTTCATCAACATCAATTGAATAACATTCAACTGCTTTATCTTCTAACTGCGGGCGCTGACCAATTTCGAATAGTGGTTGCCAGTTTGGTGAAATTAGTGACGATTCTGGGCTAAAAATTAATTAATTAAAAAAATATTAGTATTAGATGATCGCTCGTATAAAACGAAAGATGACCTGCTTTCTTGACTGCAATATCCCGAGCTACAAGTGCTCTCATCGAGATTCTTCATACAAGCACAATGGTCCATTGAGGCGTAAAATAATTCGTTTGGTGGTTTGTGTAAACGCGTAGTGTTCGGTAAAATAGATGGATTGCGATGAACCCATGGATTAGTTCGAATAATCTGAAAAAGCGAGAAGTAAAGTAATGCAATATTTTTGGATTAAATTACTACGGTAAATTACTAAGATTTTCATCAAACTAATAGATGATTTCCAGTAATTTGCAGTGAAATATGCCATGAAAAATGAAAATATTTCGCCTATACCTCATTTTCTCAGTTTATTTTCAGGTGTTTGAAATCATGAAAATTGTGCATTCCATGAATTTCATATTCATTTTCTAATTTTTCAATTTCGTATTTATTTTTAATAATAATGAATGAGTTTCTCATTTAAGAATTGCTATAATAGTAATAAAAATTTTAGAATAACCATGGGTAATTTCAGAAAAAATGTTGGGAAATCAAAGCATATACTTTCTAAGTTCTCAGCGTAAAAAATAGTTATATGGAAATGAAGAAAAATCAGCCAAATATAGATCACCTTTCGTCCAGAATTAAATGATGATGTAAATGATCGCGAAAGAGACTCATTCGTCTGATTGAAAGTGTCACATTGATAATGCGGTGTAGCTTCTTGACCGTTCCAAGAACTCAACATTTTCGCTAAAAAAACAAAAAAAATACACACCACTTCAAATTAAAAGATTTAAGAACGGTTGGTGCTCATCAAGAAGGCATCTAAAGGGATTTAACGTTAGTGGCATTTCTGATAGCCAATAAGTACTGGCTAAAGTTTTCTCTCCAGAAATCGTGGATGAAATAGACCTAGCTAGAGCGTATATAAGAAGATGCTGGCTATAGGCATCTCGTAAGCCAAGATGGCCATAAATCGAGATAAAAACCGATATTGGAAGGAACCGGTGATGAGTTCAAAAGGGCAGACCTCATTCATTTTAAAATGATTAATTATGAAAATAATTAATGAAAATAATGTTAAACGACTCATAAATAATTTATTTTGCAAATATACCATATAAAATATCGGATCTCTTTAATGTTTGCGATTTTTGACCATTATCATTTGAACGATAATTCTGCACTGTGGAACCACTATACCGAACGCAAGGAGCAGCAGACAACGAATGTTTCTGCGGTCCTTGTATATCACAGCGACGATTTGAACCACGTCGACGAAGTGGTAATTGGTCCAGCCACGAACTTAGTCGTTGCATAAAGCGAAATTCTGAAATACAATAAAATTATCAGTTTTATTACTATTATCAAAGAGCATTATTATCACATAGATTATCCATTATTGCACCAAAATCCAAATGATCAAAATGATATTAACGCGTTAAATCGATTGGGTTTTTCTCCTTCGAACCACCCCTGTGGTGAAATGATATCAACCAAACCAGCAATGTTGATATAAAAATAAAAAATATAAAGATAATTAAAAATATTTATTTGAGAAGTCTGATAATATAACAGCGATTTGCTTTCAGATATATGATAAATTTTACGCTATTTAATTTATATTTGGCAATAATAAATCAAATTTAATAAACATAGAAAGAAAAATAAATTTTAAAATTAAAATTAATATTTATAATAAAGTTTTTAATATAAAATTTTCAATAATTTTAATATTATAAAAGGACTTTCAAATTAATCAAAAGAATAAGAAGAATAAGTTTCATTCATTCATTCTATCTGCTCATTCATTTATCATTTATCACTTAATCATATCAGATTAATCAACTCGTCTACTTGCATAAAATAAGTTCATCAAAAATAAATTTGTTACCATATAAGTCTTATAATAGAATTATACATCATATCTCTTTGTGCCACAAAAAAATTATTGAAATTTGTAATAAAAATGCTTAAATAATTGATTTATGAATACCCTTGAGGTTATTTTTATTATTTTCTTTAAGAGATGAAATAAAAATTCGAGACAAATAAAAATGTAAATAAAGTTATACTAAATTAATACTAAGGTTTTTTTATGCAAAAATTATTTCAAATAAAGTAGTTTATGTAAAATAAGTTTAAATAAAATATTAAATAAAGCAACTTGTGGGTGTGATAAGAGCGAAACGCACGAAATATTTTCAAGGTTGCCAAAATAGCGGGAAAATCGGCAAAATAGCGGGAAAATCGACAAAATAGCGAAAAAGAGCGAACTTTTTAAAAGTACCATTAAACTTTTAATTATTAAATAACTATCTTATATTTACCCTATATTATTTGTCCAATATATTTATTTATTTTTTTAGTGGTTAGACTCGCTATGCTCGCTTGTCACACTGGACAAATATGTCAGGGAGTATCCCTTGGCGATAGAAGTACAGATAGTGAGTGGTCAGCACCACCCGGATTTTTGGACAAGTTTAAGTGAGCAAAAACATAATGAGCCATCCTACTCATTGTCTCAGTTATTATAATTAAGAATATGAAACTATTATTAAAAATTTAGTAAATAAATATATTGTGGAATAAATGATGAATGATTGATAGAATAGTCAGTTTTGTTCAGAGAAACAAATCGAACAATACGAATCGAATTTTAGGAATATTTTAGGAAAATTCTGATTTTATCAACCAGAATCTCGCTTGTTCATCTTAGTTTTTGACGTTCTATTATCATAGGTCAAAGCAAGTAGTGAGATTTTAAACGTATAGGCTTGTTTATACGATAAATGCGCTTAGACTGATAAAAAAGAATGGCTTCTGTTATTTCAAATGATATATCGCATCAAGTTAAGTGGCATGTAAATTGCTCAACTTTGCAATAAGCTAAACCACCCTAAGCAGTAATAATGTGAACTGTTAAAAGAAGATTTTAAAAGAAATTAAATGAGTTATAAAAAATTTAATGGAAATTGAAAAAAAAATCAAATCAAATTTTTAAAATTATTTAATCTCATTTATTAATAAATATTTTTATAAATTTCTCATAAAAAATAAAATAATTAGCATTTATAGGTCAGTGAATAATTATTATGTAATGTTGGTAAAATGAAAGTAATCCTTGGTGTGGATTAATAAAATATTGGAAAAGGGGATAGCTTGATTAAGCCGATAAAAGGAAGTCTTCTGCATAAACTGATGATTATAATTGAGTTGTGACAAATATAAATCGAAGACCTCTTCCTTTCCTTTCTTTTCCTTTTTCCCTTCTTATTGCTTAGATAAACTATGTTGATGAATCAATGTTGTTGAAAAGAAAGAAAATTCTTACTTAATCAGTATTATCAACTAAAGTAATCACCAATTAAGACTAAAGGAAATAATTAACGATTACATGTTTTAGAAACCGATTTTATTGCTATTTAAAAACGACTTTTTAATGACCATTGTGCTCCAAATAAAACCATAAAGAGACAATTTGAATGAAGGCATGGAATAGTGTTCCGACTTTGAGCATGCACTCTGGATTCGTCTTTCTTTACAGCAATGAATCTGCTATTCTAGGGAGAATTTGAGGAATGGTTGAGGATCACCTGTATATATTCAAATATATTCATCCGAGTGAAATCAGCCAGGTTATAAATAGTTTTAGAAGAGATGTAATAATATAAAATCCTTTAAAAAAAACACTTTTTTGTCTAAGCTATTTCTCATTTGATCTGACAAATTATCTGACACTAGAAATATGGACGTATAGGAAGCATTGCTTAGATTTTCAAAAGGCAAGTTTTATTCCGAAAGAAGAATGCCAGTAATGGCGCTCCGAAATGAGCAAACAACTCATTGAGCCAATTCTATCACTTCCAAAAAAACATCGGCGCATTAAATTGGATTAACAAGTCCAAACACATTTACGAAATCAAAATTTTTTTTAGAAATCCCAAAAATTTGTCGCCATGAGATTTGCGGAAAGGATTTAAAGAAAAAAAAAATTAGAGATTGTACGAAAATGGATTTGATAACTAAATAAAGTGGCATTTTCTTGAAAATGCCACAAAGCGTCTGCGCTCTAACGAAATTATACGAATAAATTGAACTAATGCCGAAATTCAATAAATACCTAATCGAGTAAAAACCGAAGAAACCGATATTTATTTGTTTGGAAAAATAAATTAAAATAAAGATTATTAAATATTAGCAAACAAAAAAAAAGCGAAAATTAAGCTAATTCGAAGCTAATTTTAAATAATCGAGAAATGATTTAGGGAGCAATTTAGGGAGCGAAAATATTTATTCGGTAGATAAGACGAATTTAGAAAATTCACCTCTAAAATTCCAAACGAAAACTGCTTAATTAACTGGAATTTAATAAAAGTTATTTGCCAATTTTTTTTAATGCAAATTTATTTTTTATTTTAAGATTATTTTTGCTTCATCTGCCATGTAATCATTTATCATTTAATACATAGGTAGGGCAGCACTTTTTGCTCCACTGAAAATTAGAATTGAAGTAATTCTTCTTCTTCTCACCATTACCGGTTAGGCTGGTCCGATTTCCAGAGTACAAGGATCCGATAGCACATATTGCGCAAGAACGAGGACGCTGAGTCCAAAAGAACTGATCCTTTCACCATAGAGTCACTTGGGGATAGAATTACGGAGGACCAGCCAGGGAAAGATAGATTATCGTTTAGATCATTTTCATAATTTTCCAATTTATATAACTGAAAACGAGTTTAATATGCCATAAAGAAAAGTGAAAATTACCAGTTCAATATAAAAATTAGACATAATAAAAACTTGTCTGTAAACATTAAGTGACATGATCGGAATTAATAAATATTCTTCAATTCTGCTTGTTTTATTGCCAATATTCATTTAGATAGAGAACATTTTTATTACAATCCACTACAAAAATAAAAAAAAACTAAAAATTAACCAAAAATTAATAAATAATAAATATCATCTCAATACGCTGGTTTAATTTGTATGAATTTATCGATACTGATAAGAGATAAAAAATTTTGTATACCTACGATGGTTCAATGGGTTTTCACTTTCATTTCGAAGTGCCAAAGTTAAAATTTTTTTAAAAATTTTTTGCCTAGGACCAAGCCTGCTTTTCGAAAATTCGAATGATGCTGGTAATCCACCAATGCTTCTACTTCCAAGTGACTCCTTAAAAGAATCCATCCTCAGAAAAAAAGTGGAATGAAAAGGAATTTTTTCCATGAAAAAATGAAACTAGGAATATAATTTATGAAGAAAAAAAGGAATAAATGATCACAAAAGAAAAATTTAAAAATAAATTTACCAAAAAAAACAATTAAAATGTAAATTTTATTTTTGATATTTTTGAAAATTATAAAATCTTTTAAAAATTAGAAATTTAAAAGAAAAAATTAAAATAAATACGTAAGTGCGACGATACTCGTAGGCATTAATATTCAAACGAATGCTAATCAAATTCCATTCCATGAAGTTAGTTAAAATAAGTAAAAATTGTCAAAATATGTATGCCATAAATATTTATTTACGTATATATTTGCAAACAATCATAAATATTCAACAATAATTACTGTAATTGGATTCGGATTCGAATTCGGCCAACGCATTTTAATAGGTGGTAGTGTTGTGGAAAGCAAAAGGAGATAGAGCAGATTGGAGGGACAATAGTGAAGTTTTACGTTTGATAGAAGTAAACCCTTTCTTCAAAAATCTGGATTATGTTGGCGATTCCCTGTATTTCTATCGACAATTGGTTTGCTGGCAAAATTTGTCTGGTTCAACACGCCAGCATAATGAGTCTCACTAGCAATGGTGAGCGCTTAGTAAAAAAAATTTAGAAAATTATTAAAAAATTACTAAGAAATTATATGCATATTCATGCATATATATTAAATATATACGTATTGCTATTCATTTCATTATTGAAAAATTCATAAAAATTTGAAAAATATAAAAAAATACTGAAAAAAATAAAAATCCCTCGCAACCGCAATGCTTTGATGAAATTAGAAAAGGAATGATTTAAAAAATAAAAAATAAATAAATAAATTTATTTAATTTACCAACGAATAACTTAAATTATTACAGTTGAAGAAAAGATTGTGAAATTTTCTAAAGAACTATTGAAAAAATAAATTTTATTTTCAATTATCTTTAAGGTACTTTAATGTAAAAAGGACAAAAGATAGTGGAAATAATATATAAATATGTATTTTTTTTCATTTTTCACTACCATTGTTTAGACTCGGTCTGCTGGCTTTGTCGGGCAAGGTGAATTTCGCTAGGAGGCGAAAAATGTGTAGGTAAG